TTAACATGCTGATTTGCTGATTTGCCCAATTTATATGCCCGGTGGGCATTTGCTCGCGTTCTTATTTGATGCGATTCGAGAAGCCAAAGTGAATGGCCAAGTCATTATTGAGCCATGTTTGTTAGCGCCTTGGCATGCAAATGCCTTTATTGTTTGGCGGCGGTATTACGAGCATACATATAACTGGCATAAAAGACCGCCCAGATATTTAATATGCATAACTGTGCGGGAAAATGTATTTGTGCACGCGGCAACTGAAGCGCGAACCAGCAACAAATGCAGCAACGTCGACAACAACAACAACAACGACAGCAGCATTGAAATCGAGACTTGCCATAAATATTGGCATTATATAGTATGCTAGCGGCTATTAACCGGCTTTGCCCGTGCCCAAGTTCTTGTTAGACACCACTTTTCACCTATTTTCCACGCGTGCGAAACTTGTGTTTAACCGAATTGAAGTGGAAATTATTTTGTGAAGAGTGTGGAACACTTTTTGAGGAAATCGTTCAGAAAGAACTTGGAAAATAAGATTTAAAAATTTATCGTATGGTAAACAAAATGAGTTGCACGTAAAAATATTCCGCCTACTTTCCACACTTGCGGGTGGAATTACCGAAAACCCCAGTTTGGTGTGCATTTACATAAGATAAGATAACTGGAGTAAACAATTCAGAGTAAACATTTCGTCTTTCAGCTCTTGCCTTTTCATTCATCATCAATCAATCAATTATTTCATAGATATAAGTATATTATAGGGTATATGCATTTATGGGTGGGTGTCTGGGATCTAATACAATTTGTCTGGCTGGCAGCTTGCGGCATCAGCTGGAAATTTATTTGGCAGACGAGCGATGCAAATTTGCTTAAGCAAACCCACCTTTGGCTGGTTTCTCTCTGCGCTTATCTTATCACCGACTTCTTCTTTTGTTTGTTGCCCGTAATTGAATTGCGAGCTCACGGGCGCTTGTTGAATTCGTCGCGGAGACACGCAGACAAATGCACTTTGTCTCTTCTAGTTTTTATTTGAATTTTTTTTTATAGACTTTTCCTGCTTTTAACGGACTACACTTTTTTTTCATTTGCGGCGTCTGACCTTGATTGAAGCCTCTGGCATTAGTTTCTTTTTATCGTCGTTTTATCACGTTTTATAACTTTTTTTCTTCAGTCAACTGACTCGCTCTGGCGTCATATTTGTTATTATTATTAGCCAAACGCGTCAACGGCAACTGACGGGGCACTACGCATATGGCGAGCACCTTAGAATCGATCGCCAAGCCAAGTGAGAAAGCTTCCGGCGAGAGCTTTGAGCAACAGGTGAGCGAATGAGCTTTTGTCAGCTAAGCTGATAATGCCAGTGCTTACAGTATGTCTACAGTGTCTCACAAAAGTAAACACCTCACAAACGAGAGTCAAGTCATGTGAGAAAGCTTTGAGCAGCCGGTGGGGGCTTGAGCTTTGCCTAGTGCTCGTGAGGTTGAGTGTTTGTCAGCTAAGCTGTTGATGCCAGTGCTTATGCACATTACAGTCTCTAACAAAAGTAAGCACCTCACAAACACGCGTCAAATCAGCTGTGACAGCTGTAACCGAAAGCTTTGAGCAGCAGGTGAATAGTTGAGCTTTGTTAAGCGCTCAAGAGCGTGAGCTTTTCTCAGCTAAGCTGATAATGCCAGTGCTCACAGTGTCTCACAAAAGCAAGCACCTCACAAACAATCATGACTATGTGAAAAAGTTGCACGCGAAAGCTTCGCTGAGCAGTTGATTAGTTGAACCTTTTCTTGGTTCTAGCCCACCCGTGTTTATCATCCTGTACAGGGTCCATAAAAAGTTGGCACACACACACACACTTTGTTGCACATACATCAATATGCATAACTGTTGCAGCTATTAAAATGGAATTTTCTTATCAGTGCAATGGCAAACCGAATGGAATTCAACACGATGAACCGACGGCAGAGAAGGTGCCCAGTCCCAAGCGCTAGTTGGCCAGGGGAACTAGTTGCCCGCCAAATGGCTTGGCCCGGGCCTGGGCCTGGGGCTGGACCCGGCTTGGCAGGGCGTCAAGTGCCATAAAGAGCAACACTTGCAACCCAAAAACTAACTAAAGTGCAGGTCCTTGCCATGTGCCGCAGCTAGCTACCCGTTGTTGCCACCCATTTGGCAGGGCGCTCATCTTTCAAAGGCGTCGTATTGCGTAAGTGTTGCTGTTTGCTGTTATTGCTGTGCACACACGCGCGCGCACACGCACACACACTCGCACATACAGACGTGTGTACAGAGAGAACTAAAAAGAAAACACAAAGAAAAACATTTACAAAACTTCCATTTCCGTTTTATATGGGCTCGGTGGGTAACACAAGCCCGCCCCTCTCTAAGCGGTGCCGAGCCCCTCCCCCCCAACCCCACCCCCACCCTTCTGCCTCTAATGCCAACTGACAGTGCCAGGTTCCCATCAGCCTTACACATTGCCCCGCCCCTCGTCTTCCGCACAGCATCAGGCATGCGGGGAAATTGAAAAAAGATAGTTGCACATAGTTAGATGAACCAAATGGCAGCCCACTAGACAGCAGCAATCCTTAACGCCCACAGACCCCGCCCCGCCCTCATCGGCCCTTTTCCTTTGGCCCGCCGAGCAAAAAAAGGGCAACCTGAAACGTTACAAAGGTAAGAAAAATGCTGTTGGGGGCGTAGGAAGTGCGCATTGTACAAGTTGAGCAGCTAAATCAAATGATAGAATGAAGTTGTAGTCCTTAAGCGCGGCGCACGACCGCGAGCCCAACAACAGGACAGCAGGACAACTGCCAACTGCCAACAGGCAACAGTCAGTGGCCAACAGCAACAGGAGCTGCTGTTGCCGCTGTTGCCGTTGTGGCACGCAACCTTGGGACACAAACAGCCGACAATGAGCTTTTCACCATACTGTGTGCAAAGAACTCAAAGAAAAGCGCTCAGAACTTGAGTGTTTTTTCAGACTGTTTAGATTTACGCTCTTACCACAAGTGCATGTGTTATGGCGGGATCTGTTCCCATGTATATAAATAATTAAATGAATATAATATAATTAAATAGGGAAACAATGGATTTCTGTGGCCGACAAAAAAATTCATTTCTTTGCATGTAGCACATATGCAACTTTATTAATTTTGCATCCAACCGACTGGTTAATGCGAATTTTATCTTAAAATTCTGATCGATTCCTTGAAAACGGGGCACTAACTAGGAGGACTTACGTTCTGTAGCTAGATTCTCTAGATTATCCGTACAAAAATCTATTTTACAAATACCAAGACAAATTTAAAATACGTAAAACAAGGCTAAGAAAGCGCTAAAACTAAAATTCTATAATTTTCCCACACATACTTTCCAGCCTGCTGAAGTTGTAGAAATCGTAGCATACTTTTGCGCTGGCCATCCAATTAGCCCTTGTGCTTGCGCCCAATCATGCCCCTTATGCTTTGGCGCTGACTAATTAATTGTTTATTCTTATCAATTAACAATACTTTAATTGCTTAAATAATGCGTGTTGCCTATTTACTGAAATCTTTTGAGACATGTGCGACGAAAATTTCCCAAAGCCAATTATCACACACAAATTAGCGCTCGATCAAAATAGATGTCAAATAAAATTTGTATATTTTACCAAAAATATTTCGCAGCCCATTCACGTCCATTGTCAGCGCGAATTTGGCTAAAATTATCAGCTTCTTATCAATTGATAGCATCAATAGCCAATCGATCTCTCGACCCGATATATTTTCGCGCATTTATCAAGCTGTGACGTCATCAATCGCAGCTAATCGGAAAATTTATACTTGAGTAAAGAGCAAACATTTTGAACTGGATCTTTATCAGCAATGGCTGATACAACGCCCAGCACACCCACAAGTCTGGAACAGTATTTAATAAGCAATTAATTGTTAAAAACTGTTCGGGCACCGGAATTAGCACTCACAAATTATTCGACATGTATACGTCGGTAAAATGTTGAAATGCGACAGAAATTCACACCTTACCGTACGCATTACCGTACAGCTATTCGGATAATTAATCAATTAGAGCTCTAAAATCAGCTAATTTGCATTGTGTCAATTGCTGCACAAACAATGCGCCAATTCGAAACCCTTTTCCCAGGCGCATCCCTTAATGGTTTGAACAATGGGTGTGCATTAAACGTGTTATTGATAGATAAGCGCATTATTCAGATTGCATTCTGTGGCAGTTGCACCTGCAGCTGCACCGTCAGCTGCTTGCCAAAGTGCCACGGCGACTGAAACACACAGCGTATCCTCGATTTGCCTGACGAGTGCAGCTCAGCATAAACACTGGCAGCAAAGAGAGAGAGAGAGGGAAACAGTAAGAGAGAGAGTGAGAGCAAAGAGTGCGCCGATCAACAATGAGGGTGGCTCTCGCAAGTAATGCTCGCTCTTTCGAACTCACGTGCTCTCCAAAATAGCCATTGCATGCTTTTTGTATACCCTGTACTTACACTGAATAAACAGAGTATAAGCAAGTGTCGAATTTAACAAAAAAACAGTTCAATAAAACTAAGAAGCGCTGACAAGCATAACAAATACGTTGGGGTACTCGTTATATAGATATAAGAAATTAATTTGCAATGCGCATATTTTTGTACGACAATATGACGCATACACGAAATCCTGCTGCAGGGTATGCTCAAGTCGACGATAAACATTGTTACATAAATAACGCTCTCGCTCTGTTTCAAAACGTGTTGTTGCTGTTTTTGTTGTTGCGGTTCTTGTTGTTGTTGTTGTTGTTGTATTTGTTGTTGCTGCTGCTGCTGTGTGTGCGATTGCTCTCTGTTTAAAAACGTGCTGCCGCAGGAACAGTAAATCATTACGCTCAGAAACGTGCGACCGGAAAGACAGCGTCGATCGACTCTTAATACCGCAAAACCGTTCGCCCCAAGTTCAAGTTTGCCGAAAACGACGCGACGCGCGCGTTGTTGCTATCAAAGTCCTAAAAAGTATTATAAAAAAAAAATCATTAAAAGTATAAAAAAAGAAATTGTAAAAGATATACGGACCGATATACGCGTATATACGTCAGAATCGTTGTGTTGTTGTTGCTATTATTGTTGTGGCTGCTACTTCTGCCATTTTCTGTGTGTGTGTGTGTCTGTGTGTGGTTGTCTTGTTTCGGCCGTTCCCGTTGCCGACATCTCCGATCGTCGTTTTGGTCGTCTGTCTGTTGCTTTTATCGACGCGTTTCTTTCGGAATGTTTTTTCTTGCGTACATGTGACGCAGCCGCCGCCGCCGTCGCCGCGATTTGTACGAAAAGCGATTTGTTTGTTGTGACATTCGCCCGCCCCGACCCCCGGCCGGCCCTTTTCCAGATCGGTCAATGAAGTTGTGCCGCACAGAGTGGAAAATTTCCGAAACACAGAACTGAAGAGAGCAGCTGGTAAAATTGGCTGCAGCCCATCAACAAATTCGTAGGTAAAAGAGCTCTTAAAGTACGTGTCAATTATAATATTCATTTACGACTCGGCCTCTCGCTGGCTGCTATTTTTGTGCCAATTTTAAAAATTGGAATATTTTTGTTCAACTTTTCGACTTGTGGCTATGACGCTGAGTACAATTCAGAAATGTGTCAAACCCCAGACAAGCAATTTATGTATGTATTGCACTTGAAAGATCCAAAAACAAATGGAACATTTAAAATACAGTTAAAGATCAGCTGACAATCTAGTGTTCAAAAACGCCTCTTGTTTTTATTTTTCTCTTTGCAAATTTCACTTCCCTATATCATATCATCTTTTGTTTTGTTTGATAACCAACAAATGTTATTAAAAAAAAAAAAAAATTAAATCAAAATAGCTCACATAAAAACAAATCACACTCGAAAATGCAGCATGTGATTACTCAATACAGCCACTCCGACTTACAGACTCTCTCCCGCTCTCTTTCCTTGTGACTCTTTAGTTCTATCTCTTTGAAACTGGTTCTGCATAGTTTGGCCCATTCACTATTTATTTCATACATTTCTGTCATTTCATTTCAGCTTTTTGTTTAACTGTTCAAAGCCAAGTAAACATAGTTTACGCTTTTCCTCTTTGCTCCTGCTCAGCTTCAGCCGTCTCTCTCTCGCACGCTCATTCTCTTGCGCACTATGCTTAACTCGTCTGCTGTTTTATGCAAAATACTGTAACAATAGCAACAACAACTCTTTTGTGCCGCAGCGACGTGCCCGTCGACGTCGACGTCAGCGTTATCAACACCGTTAAAGTTTTGCAGCTCTTTAAGCTTTCGGACTGCACGTGAATTTCGCGGCTTGCAGCATTGCTGTTGTTGTTGTTGTTGCTGCTGCTGCTGCTGTTGTTACGACTGCCGCGGCATGCAAATTCAAGTGTATGCTAGACGGGGCGCACCCTTTCTTGGCGCTGTCTCCCTTTGCTACACACACTCTCCCAAGCGTACTCTCACTCTCTCTCTCTTTCTGTCCCTCTGCGGTTACAGCTGTGTGAGTAATGGCTCAATAATTTGGCTGCCTTAATTCATACACACACACACAAGCACACGCCTTGCAGCCCTTTTGTGACCCTCTCACAACACAATGGTAACGAGAATTTGTTTATCTTGACTTGTGTGTAGTTTTGTTTTTTTGTTCTTTGCTGATATTTAACCAAAATGTATCATGACGCCTAAAGTTGATTGTTGTTGTTATTGTTGTTACTCTTTCTGCTTTTGTTGTTGTTGTTGCTGCAGTTTTGTTTACACAAGTTGTGGGCAGCTCATGTTTTGTTTCTCAGACTAGTATTTATTGTTCCTGTGCACGGTTCACGGAATTTGCAACGGCTGCAATTTAAAGTATGCGCGAGTGTATGTTATAACAAATGAGAGTGTGCCTCTTTGTGCTGGCCAGGTGGTGTTGGAGCGGGCGTGGTGGGCGGGTTGGGGTGTAGACATTTCTGTTAAGCATGAGTAGAGGGTATACGTAATGCAATACTCATATATACTCATACTTAATACTCATGTGTTTAATACGAATACGAGATTTATTAGTTTATTTCCTTTGTAAACAATCAAAACTCTCTGGTTAACCTAGGCGCACAGTCAAAACAAAAGCTCACCAGCAAAATGTCTATTAATCATTAGACAGTTCCTGAAATTTCTGAAACAATTACGAAAAGAGTAAAAGTGATTGCCGCATATTAAATTTCCTTCAGATAATACTATATCTGTCGATGTAGCTATTTAGCAAGCGGTTCGTATTTTCCATCATTCTTCTTTTTAATCATAACTCGATAAGAACAAATACTTTATCAGAAAACAATTAGTCATGGGCTCAATGGACGCAGCGCTTCTATGCCTTGGCTCCAGTGAACCCCTAAAACAAAACATCAAGTTAAGATATTGTGCAAGTATTTCCTGAAATTATTAATCATATGCATGAAACACTTGAGAGTTATGGTTGTAGTTTATTTTTCCAATATTTTTTTTTATAGATATATTTTGTCGGGGTTTCGGCCAGATCAGAAGCGTGAAATTCGCTTATCTTAAGGGAAGAAGAGGCATTGGGGGAATCAATATCGAAATAAACGTACTTTGACGAAGGTATTGATTACGCCGCATTTGCCGTTAGTCAGAGCCCGGTTCCGTCGATCGTCTGTCAGTTGTATCAGTTGGTCATTAGTCGGTCGCCAATAGTCCAATTAGAGTTCTCTGTTCTCCAATTGTTGTTGTTGTCGTCGTTGTTGTTGTTAGTTTTGTTTATTTGCAGTTGGTTTGTCGAATCGCAATTGGTTTTTCATTCGAACACTCATGTGGTTGGCAAATCGTTCAAGCGTAAGGTTTTCTAAACGTACTTTATGTTTATTTTATTGTTGTAGTTGTTGTAGTTGTTGTAATTTTTGTATTTGATCACTTCGAGTGCAGTTAGCTGGCAAAGTGCTATGAACCCTTAGCCACATTCGCCTGTGTGGCCATAAATCCTTCATAAAGTCCAACAAGTATTTCCACTCAAGTGGAAATGGAAACTACTTTCAACTGCGACGGCGGCTTGGTCAACAACAATAAGGCACAATTCGATTGCATAATTTATGGAACAAGATTTGTGCAAGTGCGAGGATTGCTCGAGATATAGGCGGAGACATAGCACGACAGCTATATGATTTGTGCATACGCATTGCCAATAAAATGTGTATAAAACTTGAATTCAAAGCAGTTTATTTCGATTTTCACGGGAGAGCAAGCATATCTGCTAGTAAATATACAGTAATCGCTCGCTAAACAAAACGCTACTATTAAATAGAGAGCTATTATGTGGATGACAATGAATGAATATAAAAGTTATATATTTCATTTAGAGGTTAATAGGCTACAAGGCTTTTAGAGATTTTATTTGTATAGATCTTTAAGCTCCCAACATTAGAGTGGCACGAGTCCAGCTGTTGAAAGCTGAAAAGACGCATTTTAATCTTCTAGCCGGAAATGATAAAGCGATTTACGACAGTTTGGTAATAAAATGATAAGCAAAGCAGAATATGCGAATATGCGATGTCCAGATGCCTCATAATGAAAAAATTTTCAAGCATTTCCAAAGAATCATGTCAAATAAGAACTGAAAGAGAGCTAATGCAGATAGAATACCTTATGAACATGTCAAACTATTCATCTAACTGCCCGCTTACTTAGAGTACTCATTTGTATTCATGGTGCAGCACTTGTACTCGTTAGGTACTCGTTTGGCAGCCCTCGGGCCGACGACTCGTTTTATTCTCCTTATACTTTGCGCTTGCTGATATGACGAGCTGTCTGGCGGGCAACAAAGCTTTTTTTTGGCAAACCGCAAATCAAATTTCGTCTAATCGCAGTTTCTTGTTTTGTTTTGTTTCTTTTTTTTTTGAACAAGATTTAGGGCTATACTTGGACAATACCTTTCAAATTATGGATTATTATTATTTTGTATGAGAATAATATATGGGGCACACTTCAATACGAATAATTGCCCGGCGTCGACATTAATGCCCCAGTAGCTGGAGTAGATTATAATTCATGTGTTCTAAACTGACATTTTTACGGTGGCGTTTTTATTACGGGTTTTTGGCGGTGCGCGAAACAGGAAATACGCTCCATGGCAGTGCAACCCCCTTTCTCTATTGCTGTCTCTCTCTCTCTCTCTCTCGCTCGCTCGATCGCTTTAGCGAAGTGTATCAAGTTCAATGTCAGTTGCAGTTGCAGCGGCAGCTGCTTGCTGCAAACTGTTGCAAATTGCAAACCGGTTCTTGGGAGGTGCACCCGGAGTCGGTCATGATCGGCAACAGCAGCGATTGGAGTTGGCAGCTGTTTGAGCGGCATATATATTAACAAATGATCTATAGAACCGGCTGGATCTCGAGTTGTTTATCACTTCATTATTTCGTCCGTTGATAAGGGCGAGCACGTGTCATATATCAAGATATGCCACTCAAAGTTCTGCCCAGGAATGCCAGCTGATAAGTCGATTATTAAAACTATAATTATGCTGCTATTTAATGTAATCAAACTAAGGTACTTAATTATAGCCCAACCCCACTCCATGTGAGCTTATCATTTCATACGATATCGATAACTATTGATTTTGAGATATGTTTCTTAAGGATCGGCTTGCAAATTATGAGAGCCAAATATAAACTTGGTAAGTGGGCTGTCGTGTAGTATGCATAGATTGGGTATACTTCACTTTTTGGCTATCTTTTCTTCCATGCCTCCAAAATGGCGTGAAGATCGGACCTTAAGCACCAAAGTTTATCAAATATACATATTCCAAACATAGTGTGGGACGAAAGGGAAAAGAAGCACAGCCACGGTATTCGTGATATATATCATAAAGAATTTTAAGTCCGAAATGAAATCATATATTTGTGTATAAAAGGAATCTTCACTGAAACCGACGCTACTCTTAGGGTATTTTCTAGTCGGCCACATCCAACTTTTGTCGCAAATGCTATCAATTTGGCTACACGTCACATTATAGACAATTATTTGATGATCATTTGCGATGGGGCCAAATGCCATACATTACTGTCAATTGTTTAAATAAATTGTGAGGCATATCGCAGCGCATCGATAAGGCGATCTCGATAATGGATGTCCACTGTACCGCTGTGATAAGACAGCCGTAGACAGCACCTAATGCCGTACACAATTCGTAGACAAACAACAATTTAAATCAAAACTAAGCCAGACCCTTGAACGATCGATCGTTTGCGTCGTTTCGCTAATGAACCCATAAAATTGATCACCACGTTAATTTGGGCTGTTCCCTCGGCTGCACGGCTCCTGTTTGGAATTGTTTTTGTTTTTTTTTTGCTATTGTTTTTGAGTGAGTTTATTTGCTTTTGGTTTAAATTATAACACCTTTGCTTTATGACCGACTAGTCCGTTTGTTTGCTAAACCCATCCGCCCCACCGTCTGGCCCTGTTTTTTTAAGTTGTCTCTAATTTTTTGTTGTTGTTGATAACATGCGCCTATTTTGTGGCTCTGTGCACCATAAAACGTGTAAATTATTAGCTACGTGCCACAAATTGGCCCAAAGGCAACAAACAAAAAAAAAAAAAATATAAAGAAGAGAGTCACGCGATCGATTCGATCAGTTGAGTAAATTTATAAAAAAAAAAAAACACTTTAAGCTGTCTGCTCGGGTGATGTATTGCTGGAATATTTTTAAAATCCTCGACGCTTTGGGTTATGCCTTGATTTTGATCGAAAGTTCGCGGGTTAGCTGTGTTTTTGATCTATTCAAAGTAACGCAAATTATTTTGGATTTCATGTTTGATCTATAAAAAGTATCATAAATTATTTAGAATTTCATATTAATGTTTACTTTACTTGGGGATTTTTATAAATTAGTTGCTTTCAATTTCATCATGTTGATAAAAATTAAGTAAATTATTATGTTAATTGGGTTGAGCATATGGCAAATCTAAAACATATCACGATTTTATTTAACGGATCTTAATTTATATTGCGGAAGAAGTTCTGTGATCATTCAATCAGATTACATAACTAATATAATAGATAAGTACTTGGATAGTAATAGCTGTCCAAATGAGCTGATTCTGTGGATCTGGTGTGTATCTGAGCATCTGTAAAGTGGGTAGCGATCTACTAGATAAAGTTAATTAGAAACGTATTACCAAAGAATATTCATGAAAAAATAGTCCAAAATATAAAACCTTTCTTTAGTATTTAAGGATCGTTGCAGGGATTAATTAGATAACATTAACAGCACAATTAAATGGAAAATGATATGATGATATTCTATATACTGATATATTATATTACATAGTAATTGATATGTGTTTACTCGAAACAGCTAAAAGAAATAATTTTTCAAAACGTATACAATTTCTTGTGGATCTTAGGATCTAGCAATAAATGGGCTAGATAGCATAAACAGAGAACAAAAATATGATATGCACTCAATAAAGCTGCAAGAACTAATAATCCATATTAATATCCATTTCCTACGGTTCCCAAGTACTTAAGTACCTTAATCAACACTAAAATTTCATTCAAATTTCGAATGCTTTGTAGAGTACACACAGTTAAGTGCCAGACGCAGCCATTCTTAAGTAAGCAAACGCTTTTCCGCTTTTCTCTATTTGCGCAATTTATCAAGCGTGTCTCTTGGTTAAAAACCACGGCCAAATCATGCGATACGAGTTAATAACTAATGCGGTTCACAACACTGTTCTCAAGGTTAGCAAACACCAAAGTTATCCCTGCATGTGTGCGTCGTGTATGTGTGTGTGTGTGTGTGTATTCAAAAGCTCAAGTTTAATCCAGGGCCAACTTTAGACAAACACACACACGCACACTCGCACACACACGCGCTCATCAATTTTATCGCAGGTAGACAAACAAAACGTTGGTCACATTTTTCTTGCATAACGCGAATTTGGCCAAAACGAAAATAAATCGCCTGGAATAGCTAAAACAACTACAGAGGCTATAGACCTGAGCCCTATCTAAGCACGAGACTCAGGTCGAACTATCTGCGCCCCCCTCCCCCTCCCTCTAACAGCCCGTGACGGGGAGCAGTGCTCGGCGGGCGCTCGGCTCGGCTTCGGCTGTCAATTCTGTTCTGGGAGCCACATAAATCAGCGCCATCGCAACCGCAACAGGTTCACACGGCTTTCGTTTGTCATTGAGCGCGCCTCGCGTTGGCGTCTCTCGTATCTCGTATCTCGTATCGCGTATCGCGTATCCTATAGATACGTATCCCATAGATACGCCCACGTATCCGCGCCGTTTCGATAATTTAATTTGTGACTGTGCCAAAATTCGTTGAAACGCTGCTCGAAAAGGTGCCTACACGACTGTTTTTTAAAGACCCACCAGCACGCAGCTCCAGTGCTCAGTCCTATATTTATGAGCCACTCGAATCCATTCGCTCGCCTATTTAGATTAAGTTTTGCATTTGTCAGCTGCTCGTCAGTTGCTCGTTCGCTTTCCCCTAAGTCAGTCGCGCACATCACTCGGCGTTTAATTATCGAAATAATAGTTAATAATTAATAATACAAAACTAGTGCACCCCGCAGCAGATAATAAGTAGCCCAGCCATTTAGGTGAGGGCGCAGGACGAAGCCCCGACTCATTTGTGGATATCACATTGTCTTTATCGAAGGCCTAAGTAGCCAGTGCAAAAAGTCCTTCAAAAAAAAATAAAAAAAATAAAAATATAATTAATTTAAAATTTTCAAACTATAAGTATTCAAGTTTGCGGCCCCGATGAGTGTGTGGATGGAATATTGTCATAATTCTTGATATTAAAATATTAAAAATAAAAATAAAGAAAGATATTAATAGTAACTACAAAATAGTTTATAATGAATAAATGAGAGAAACTTTATATATTTATCTGCCGCGTGCTCCTAAACTGGAATAAGAAGGAAGCGTGTTCAAAGTCCTGTATGGATATAATATCCAGTGCAAATAGTAGCTTAAATATTAAAACACAAATAACTAATATTAATATAATAATAACAATAAAAATGATTGCAAAATAGCAATAATAGTTAATATACAATAATAAAAAAAAAATAGTGAGAGTAACTATATTTGTTTAGTGTCTGCTACGTATTGAAAAAAATAAAAACTAACAAAACAAAGATAAAAATAGTTATTATTCATAAATAAATAAATAAGAGTGAGAGAAACTATATTTATTTGCTGCCCCCCAAATTGGAGGCTTTAATGTCGCCATTAAATGGCGATCAATGAAAGCCGCCCGCAAACAGACCCAAGAGCTCGTCCAGACGCGACGCGTTCCAATGTTCAACACTCGCAATTGATCAAGCGCAAGTCGCGTGCTCGAGCTCCAGTCCCAGCCCCAGCCCCGGTCCCAGCTCCAGTCCCAATCCCTGCCCCTTTCTCTTGGTCGCAAGTTGTGCGTGTTGCTGGCATTTGACTTTAATTGAGTCGCAGCGCGCAATTTTATTGCTCGACTTCTGTTGTGTGTGTGTGTGTGTGCGTGTGTGTGTCTCAATTGGCCCACAGTTTAAGCAGGCAGAGTCATAACTTTATTCTTTATTAATGTAATTGCGTTCTAAGTGTATCCTCTGTCCACACTTGCAGCCCCTGCGGTCGGTCTACAGTCGGAAGCCTTTCGCACCGAATGCCGAGATTCTTGGAGCTGCCGCAGTGGACGCGCCCAAACACCCACAGCTCAATGCAACTGCGCCGGTACAGGCGTCTGCAAATCATCAAATAATAATCAGGCCATAGCCCAAAACCCCTAAGAAATTCTTTACGAACTGCCAAAGGACACGGCGCCAAGATGAGCTTCAGTTCGGCCAGCGGCCGCGAGAACAATGTGCGCAAATTGTCCTTTTTGGGCTTCAATACCAAGAAAAAGGTGAGTCCCAAATGAAAAGTGTTTATCTATATATATATAAAATTTAATTAGCTAATGAAGCATAAGACATAGTGAAAGTGAAGGCCACAATTGGAATAAACCGAAATCCTTTCATCTATAGCAGCTAAGCACTTGAATATCGATTAGAGATCTTTGAGATATTCTATAAATATTTTATGAAGTGAGAAAAACCTTTTACTAATTCAAGATAATAAGTATATCACTTAATTAACTAATGAAAGATCCGACAGTCGCATTAAAGATAAAAAAGCTTTCAAGGAAAACAAAAATAGACTTCGAATTTTTGTTGAAACAAGAAAGTTAGGATAGCTTCGACACACCGAAGTTTTAATACTCTTGTAGACATTTGCCTTTTGCAGTTATGAGGGAATGATGCAGCTCGAAAATGCTGATTTTTTCAAAAATATCTTCGACAAAACTTTCCTATAAAAACTATATGATATAGTAGTTCCATGTTGATAAGATTTTGCATAAGTATGAGGATCACATTGCAACTAATGAATCCCGATCTGGCGAACTTTGCAAGGCGATATTTTTAAGACTGAGAAACTAGTTCGCATAGAAACATAATATATTCTATAGAAAGATCCTTTTCTTATAGTCAATTCTCATTGCAAACTGCAAGCACAGTTTGCATATTAATGGCAACAACTTTCGCTCCGATCACTGATCCACCAGAATTTATTGTTAATTTATCAATCAGCCCCCGGGAGTGCACATAAAAATCGGCGTGAATGCGAGTTGTCTACGAGAGAAACCTACCCGAAATCGATTTGTCATATTCTGTCAACGGGCAACTGTGTGAGAAACGGCTTTGAGAATGCTTCCTAATGTTCAGTTAGTTCAGTTTAATATCTCTATACATTATTTATGGGATCGTATTAGCTCTAATGCCCGGTAATTTTCCACAGACAACATTTTTGCAAAAATCGTTGAAAAAATGCATTAAAATTCGAGTGTGCAAAAAATGTACTTTTATTTTATTTATTTTTTATCTGTCTGATTAATTCGTTTAGGTTTGTTGTTGTTTATTTTTTGTGTTTTATTATTTTTGTTTATTAAGTTTAATTTTTTCTCTCTTTTTTTGTTGTGGTTGTACGCGCGGTTAATGTCAAGCAATCGTTATTGATTTTTTTTTCGTTAATGTTGTTGTTGCTATCACAAAATTTTTACTTTTCTATACATTTCCGCGCTCGTTTTTGTTGTTGTTGTTGTTGTCATGCCCGCCAGCAAGTCAGTGACACAATTTGGAAACCAGTTTCGCATTTTTTTTGTGCGGATTTAAATTGAATCTCGACTTTGGTTTCAATTTCAATTTCAGTTACAGTTTCGCTTTCGTGTGCCAATACCCTAGACACAGACTGGAAGAGGTCTGTATATGCGTATGTGTGTGTGTGCGTGTGCGGGGATTTCGCATAATCACGTATTCATTCATTCAAAATACCATACACGCCCCCCCTTACCGCCCGTTCGTTTGCCATAAACCCGTTAGACGTTCACTTGGATGTATCTATAAACGAGACCAGACAAAAAGCGGGCACATTACGTATACGCAGCGTGGCACACAGCAACGAGGGCGGCTTTAAGGCCAAAGCCAAATGGATAAACAACAACAACAACAGCCAAGCACAAAGTGAGTGCAAAACAAAACACACAGCAACAACAACAAGAGCGTATTTTTAATTGTGCGTCTAGAAACAGTTAACAACTGAAGGGGGGAATGAGTGGATGGGGGGGCGTATGTGAGCTGCTCCGGAAGCTAGTTAGACATTCAAAATGGACGGGTGGACAGGCAGCAACGCGCACACACACACATGCCAACACACACACACGCAGAGACACAGTCAACAACAGGAAATCAATATTCGTGGTCAAGGCTGTAACTGCAACTGCAATAATAATAAAGGCAACAAGCAGTTGCAACAACAACAACTACAACAACTGTTGGCATTGGCATTGACCAGAAAGTGCTCGTAATGAAATCGTTGACACCTGAGCGAAAGCCGCGTTTGCTCTTGGCCATTAAGTTAATTGTCAAGGTAGCCAACGCTTCGCCTCGCCTCGCCTCTCCTTCGACCCCGCCCGCCCTGTCAAGTAGGCAATGATTTAGGCATTCAACATTTCAATTATCCCGTTAGTTTTGCCCACGCAGTTCGCGCCATGTTATATGACTCTGAGTGCGATGAGTTACCTGTTATCAATTCGTAATTGCCACAGACGGTCTCAGCACGCACATGCCACGCCCCTGTCCCATCGACGACGCACAACACGCCCTAAACGGTGCACACTGGTCGCTAGATTATTGTAAATGAAGTCTTAGAAAATTTAAGAAATTGTTTACAGCTTCTAGAAACAGATTCTAGAAAATGTATTCATAGAGCCGTACTCTTGATTAGTTATTTTTAAAGAAAGCTTTTGAAAACTTAACTTTTAAAAAATTTCTAATTTTGCATTAAACCAATTTTTAAATGCATAGTTCGGCTATTCTGCTTAGATCTTAATATTTCCTTTGAATAATCAAATTTGTTTTGAATATTCGTGCGCATAAAGGGATTTTTAGCAAATTTCTGTATGCCTAGGCAATATTTATTTTCCCGAATGTAGTTTTTAATTATTTTCCGTCTCTACACATTGTTTATTTTTGTTTTTCTTGATCAAACATGGAAAATTTTTGTATTAGATTGCCTTTGCCTGAGTCCTTGTGCAACGAAGTGTTCATAATTCGAATATTTTTAGGGTAAAAGCGCAAGCTTTTTGGTTAAAGCTTTTGCCAGGCAGCGCGCCAGCTCAACACCCACAAACAAACATATTGACCTTGACCGTGTGCAAGGCTCGCTTTCGCACTCGCACATGCTCTCTCTCAGTCTCTCTCTCGCTCTCGCTTTCGTCTTTGCCCCGCTAGCTACAAAAGCTTTTGGCACGTGTCAAGTATATGCAGCTGTGCGTAAATGCAGTCGCAGCGCTGCCAAAATGGCCAGCGAGCTTTAAGCGAAGCTTTTTTTTTTGGGGGCGCACGTAGAGTGCATTTGATTTACGTCAGCAGCAGTTGTAAAAGTTTCGGTCAGCGCCAGCGGCCGTGAGAACAGCTGTTTGCGCTGCAGCGACGCTGGCAGCGCAGCCATTTGCTGTTAACTATGCTACAGTTATACGCGCGCCTTCATTGTGCGCCTGCGCATGTAATATGTGTGCGACGCAGTGGCAGCGCTGGCAGCAGCAGCAGCAGCAGCAGCCACAGCCATAGTCACGACATTTGCTGGGAAGCCTTCCCAGACGCCACAACATTTTAAGGCTTGAGAGCGCGCGCTGCTCCGTCTCCACGCGTTTTTCATCTATTGTAGTGTGCGTGCGTGCGTGCGTGCGTGCCAGTGTGAGTGTGAGTGTGTGTGCTGTCTTGCGTCTTTTGCTAGTTGCTGTTGCAGTGAACTGTTAAGAAGCTCGCGGGTCAAAGTGCAACAGGCAGCCAGCCAGCCAGCAACTGTTACGAAAGTCCCAGCAACAACACGGAAAACGGAACTAATGAAAAATTCGCCTGCGGGCTGCAACTTTGTGAAAATTAAATGTGAGAACTTTGTCTCGTCTATTGACTAAATATTTGCAGTTTTCAAGGTAAAACAAGCGCTGAATGTTTGATCTATAAAACTTGCGCACATTTATATTAACACGCCCATACACACGCACACACACTTGCTCAAAATACCTGAAAAGTTTTCAAGAGCGCTCAACCTTGAAAATTATTAAAAAATGTGCACAAAAACACGCACACAGATACACACACGAGCGAGCGCACACACACACACACACACACACATATATACAAGCTTATAGCTAGATATTTTGGATAAAATTCTAGCCAGGATTTTGGCACAACAAGTGAGCCAGCAGCCTGGCCACTTGGCCAGCTTCTATTCTATTTAACACTTACTTACACACACATACACACACATACACGCATACACACACAGTCGCTGCATGCCATTTCGGGCACTCACAATGTCATGTAATAAATAAAATGGGCGCAAGTAACGGCAAATGAGACACGGGGCGCGGCCATGGACGGCAGCATCTTTTATGGCTCATCTTTGCACACTTTTGCGGTCGTAACTGTAAAGCTGGAAATGTGGGTGCGCCTGTATGAGGGTGTTTCTTCGTGTGTGTGTGTGTGTGTGTGTGTGTGTGTGTGTGTGTGTGTGTGTGCGGGTACTTTTAATATATATTCGCATGCCCAGCATAATTCACACATCAGCCACCCAAGTGAAAACCAATCACAATTTCAGATTCGTACGCTCATGCTGCATGCTACGCACACACACACACAAACAGGCAATACGTTGACCTTGAAGTATGCAACACTTTTCGCACTATTACGAGAGCAGCAAGAGCTATATCATATAGTATATCGACTATTGTCAGCTCAATTACATTATGTTTTAACGCCTTTTAGAGCACAAAGAACATTTTAACCTTTGCACGTGTCGATTGTTGCCCGCCCCGGCACCCGCCCGTCCACTTGCCTGTCTCATGCCCTTCCTGTCCTTCAGCAAGCATTTCCGCTGCGAAAATTCCCATCAAATTAACACACACACGCACGCAAGTACACCCATAGGCAGTCGGGCAGATACAAACAAAGTGGAGCATCGTTAATTTGTGCAAACAAATTTAATATACGAAATGGTTGGCCCCAAGGAGCCAAAGAATCGAAGAAAATTATGCGCAACGCATGGGATACATTTTTCCTTTTTCATTTTTTCCGTTCGATGCCTTCAAGTCAAAAATGAAATGTAAAGCTGAACGAGGTTGACTCCGGTCCTGAAATATTTTTGTTCTTCCTGCTTTTATGCTCTTTGAAATACATTATTGAACAGGGTGTATTGAATGAATATTGGGTAATTTATTACTTTACTTTAATTTAACTTAAATATATAAATATCAACAAGAATACTGTGTTAATTAATTAGGTAATTACAATGTAATTACTTTTTAATTACTTTTCAAATTTGCAATTACTTAGCAAATTTTATATCATAAGTAATTAACTATATAATTAATTTTCAATCTTAATTACTTTGCAATTACTCTTTATCTACTCCGCAACTACTTCTTAATTACTTTTAAACTTTTTAATTTCTCTACTATAACTATTTAATTACTTTTCAAATTTGAAATTAATTTGCTACCAAATTACTTTTTAGTTCTTTTGTTTTAGCTCTGTCGCTTCTATCAGCAAAAAGTCTTCTTTTTTAATCAACCTTTTACAGGGCATAAGGCAGTTACTATGTTTTCCTTTTAAATTTTCATCTGACTGTTTTTCGGCAGAACAAGCCGTTTGTGCAAAAGCTAGCGACAAGTGGGAGAAGGGTAATGGTGGGAGGCGTGAGTGACTGGGAATGGCATGATGCCGCTGACATGGCCGTGGACATGTCGTGGAAAGTGCCACGAAACTTGAGACGGAGGCGTTTTTATTGCAAAGAGGTGATGAGAAGTTAAGCACGAACGTCTAAACTTGACTTGAAAACTTATTGGCCCCAGCTGCTTACATAACAGCAGCAACAACAACAATAACAATGGCCAACACTCAAATCTGTTCAAGTTGTTTGCCACAATTTGATTCAATTTGGCTGACAGCATGCAACATGGCAACCAAAAAGTTGCCGCATAACTTGCTTATGACTTCTAAGTCACGTGCCGTTCACTGTTTTCCGCTCTAAGTCGCTCCGTCCCGCACCGCTCCGTCCCATCTCGTTCCGCCTCTTACTTACCAGCTAACACTCAAATGTTGTCAAACCGCATCAGTAACATTCAACAAGGAACATGCCACACACATGACTAACTTTTTGAGCAGAAGACCAGCTAAATGCGAGTTCGTGCATCAAGTTCGCGCTTGTTCGAGTATTTTTGAGTATTTACGCAATGCTGCACACCTGAGTGGGCAAAAAAATAATACAGAAAAATACAATTTGAGTTTTTAGAAGTTTTTTTTTTTTTTTTTTTGTTGGGTCTGGGTTAAAGTTTTGTATCGAAAGATAATTGAAGTTCTTGCTCAACGCAAACTTGTTAATATGCGAAAGTTGTTCAGCTAAAAAACTTCAGACAAAGTTCGTCAAACGACCGAATTCAATGGGTATATGTATGTTCTTGATGACTTCAAGAATTCAAGTGAGCCAGTTAATCAGGCAACTCAACTAACTAGCATAACTAGCATTTTTTGTATCTAGTATAATATACCCTTATACCCTACCCGCTGAACTGGTTTTGTGCATATGTATGTCATAGGCAGAGGAAAGCATCGGAGCTTTTGTTAAGCATATATATATACAGATTTGGGAAATTATAAAAGCTAGAGACATCATACTTCGTACTTAAGTTATCCTTTACCATATTCTATTTTCTTTAGGTATAGAGGGTATAATGGCTTTGAGCAGATGTATGTAACATGCAGACGGAAAGCATATATAATTAAAGGTTTGGGACATTATGAAATCTAAAGATTACATTTAGAATATACATAATACCATACTCAGAACGGGCTTATCGATAGCTCTTATATTTGCGCAGTGTTATAATAGATAGATCTATATAGATAGATATCTACATACCTCCCTTATTTCTCCCCATACTCCGCGCTGAATGCAGGGTATCTCTTATTCGTGCACTTCCATCTTAAGCACTCGTACTCGTTATTCAATATTTTTGTACAAAGCTTTCAGGTAAATTATTCTCATAATTTCTATATTAGGCATTCGGTATATTGTTTCTTATTTCATTTAAATGTATGTTATTATTATATTCTTTAAGGAAAATGTGACTTTTTGAAAATATTTTCAAATTTATTTTCATATTTCGTGGTCAATGTTGAAAGAGTTGATGTACTGTCAAAATGTTGTCAAGTCTATTTTTGAACTAAACTTTCACCAAAAGTATTCAAAGTCAACAAGTGAAATGTATATTAAATAGGTTCTCAAGAGATTTTCGTATTTCGGGCAGTTGCAAACCTTTGTTGTTGTTGTTGTTGTTGTTGTTGTTATTTTTGCCGTTGTTGTTGTTGTGGTTCGAGCAAGTTGCGTTGTTGTTTGAAACAACGTCGGCATTTTCATATTAATTTAGCAAAACGCAAAGCAAACAGCGGCAAACGAAAATTGACAGTTCAGACAGCTGTGGGCGGGGCAGTGGGCGTTTGGGGCGTGGGTGTGGGTATGTGGGCGTTGCAGACACACACACTCACACACACACACACGTACACACACCATCGATTATTTTGATAAGCGACGCTGACATTGCTGCACAGTTCGTTTAGCTAAAGTGCGCTCTCCACCTGTGCGCTATCAGCAATGGTCGCTTGATTGGGTGGGCGGCCGTTGGGTTGATATTGGTGGATTTTAGTTTAGTACTAGCTGCTAACTCATAACGGTTAACTCATAATGTTGGCCTTGGCTAATGCCTGCATGATAAAATACTTTTCGAGCGGCTCTCCCTCTGTCTCTCCGCCTGTTTGTCTGTCTGTCTAATCACAAATGGCAAAAACATCAACATCATTATGATCAATATCATTACCAATAACATCGTAATTAACATCATTTTCATCATTACAATATTCATATGTGCCTCGCGCTCCTTTGCCTCGTTTTGCTCTTATCGATTAATTAACGTAACGGGGCGCGTTACGCTTTGACTTATCACACACACGCACACACACACTCGCAAACACACCCTCACACAAACACACACACACAGCTGGACAGACAGGACACATATTTGATATTCCCACGTGCATGCTCTCAGCGTTATTAAATTGCTATTTATAAACTCGGAACCTAACTGAATCGAACTGAAACTCGGCTTTTATTTTTCCCCATTTGTTTTCCAGTCTATTGTTTTCCTTTTATATTTTTTTTTTCATATTTTTTTGTTACGCTTATCCCGCACGCTTATCAGCTACGCAATTGTCAGGAATATGTAGCACGACATCATAAAGTTATTAGGGAAATTTAGCAGAAAATATTGTGCGGGAGTTAAATTTAGAGGGCTGTAAATTTGGAGGCGTGGCTGCGGCAGTTGTGGCTGGCAGAAGAAGGCGGCACACAGACTCAGCCGCATAAAGTTAATTTCATACTCATTTTCATTTATGTGTGTGTGCTTAGGATAAGATGGATTTCATGTTGAGCCCAGGCAAACAGCCATAAAGTCGTTGTATTCAGCGCCAGAACAAACACGTGCAAAACAAGCTCTTTAAACAGGTAGCTAATGGCGCATAATCTAATTTGGCTGAGCTTAGACTTTGACGAATGAATTTACATACATGTCACCTGTATACTAGTTGCACCTGGGCAGGCACTGTGCCTTGAATTAAACAGATTAAATGGAAGAATCTTTGAGGATATTGTTAAAACAGCTGAAGGAAACATCGCTAAATATTAGCTACAAATGCGTCACAGTCTATATTATTTATATAGATTTTTTTCAATTATAAGTGTTGCTTATAGTTAATATGTAGCAGACTATTTTGAGACATGCAATAAAAAAAATCCAATTGGAATCTGCAATACATGGATCGGACCACTTTATCATATAGTTGTCGAAGGAACGATCGGCCGAAAATTGGGCTCATGTATAAAGCGCCTTTTTTTATGTAACAAGCCAAACTCGGCATTTATAAGATTCGCTATGTCCCCTACATAATGTCGAAATTTTAAAAGCATCGGACTACTATATCATATAGCTGCTATAGGAACGATCAGGCGAAAAGAAGGAAAATAGTTTTTGAATGATATGTCCAATAAACTCAGCATTATCGAACTGCTCTATTCTCACAGATCCGCAAAAGGAAAATGTCTACCAGGGTATTAAATGTTCGGCGTGCCGAAGATAGCCTAACTTTCTCGTTTGTTTCTTCAATATTAGTAGAATTTATTGGCTGTCATGAAACTCTCTGATCGCGTCATGAAATACAGAGTATATACATAAATCGATCTATATATATTATAAGTAATACTTTTAGATTGTATATGTATATATGCTTAGACTAATATCTGAAGAACTTATACTTATATGTGTGTAGATATAAAGTCTATAGTTTATAAATTGATTATATTGACAATTATATCTTTAGCCTTCGCACTGATTTGAAATAGACTAGAATTCTATTTTCAAGCTTGATTGATATGCATAGAAAAACAGAGCAAGTATTTCGCAAACAACTTCAGCAACAAAAAAAAATAATAAAGAAATGAAAAAAAAAAAATTAGCATCGATTTGAAAGAGCGTCAATCAATGCCTTCGTCACTATGAAAATCAATTGATTTCGATTAAAAACAATTAACATAAACGCCATTAAATATGCTTACAAAGAGATGATGGTACGATCCAACGATATCAACAATCAACGATTGTATGATATATGATGGAAATATATTTAAGTGTTCTGGTGCGTGATCGCTGGGGAATGCTTGAAGCAAGGGGCTTTTGGGGGACGGAGATCGAAGAGCGACACTTGATGATGAATTCGCGGTCTGTGTCTGCAACTCTGTGGCAAGAGGCAGAGTTGGGTCAATATTTACAGAATTATATTTACACATGACAAGGCGACGACGGCGATGACGACGTCACGCGCCAGCTACAACAACAACAAACACAATAACAACAATAAGAACAACTATAATAACTATAATAGCAACAATGGGCTGCGTGATGCTGAATGTTGTCGCCGTCGAGTCACATGACTGTTTTTTCTTATAGATTTTTAATTGAAAAGTTTTTTGTTGTCTTGAGTCACATAACGTGACCAGTAAATATATATATATATATATATATATATATATATATATAGATACCATATTGACTATATTGTGTAACCCATATACGTTTCCCACTTCCATTTGCAGTCCGGCAATGAGGATCCCGATGAAGTGCTGCTGGACTCGGAAATGGACAAGGTCTTTGCCGGCTCAAGTGCGCGCAAAGAAAAGTTCGATGTAAACACGTTCCAGGACAACAGCCAGCAGCCGATTGGTTCGCGGAAAAAGAGCAGTGAGTACCCCTGCCTTAATTCAATATATCTTATCCTAATTATTCTCAATTTTTCTCTGAAGTACGCACAAATGATCTGAACATTGAGGAAGACTCGGAATACGAGAGCCAAACTGAACCGTTGAATAATGCACAAAACTATGATGATATACCCGAAGATTTTCCGCTAGTCTCCGAGCGTGCTGGACACGGCGATCACTCGGACAATTCGGCTGACGAGAAGCACGTCCAGTTCGGTGATGCCAAGAAGAAAATTGTCATCACCCCGCCCAGTCTGAGCTATGATGAACAGCCCACGGACCAATCGCACGAACGTAAACGCAGAAAAAGGTTTGGCACAGACACAGCTACAACTCTCATTCGATTCCAGACTAATCTCTATTATATTTACAGCCGCCATCAGTATTATAGACAACGTAAATTCTCACATCAGGACAGCGTGGAACCCAAAAAGACACTCGAGGAGAACGGTGATGCAGGTGCGCGTAGGATCTCTGTGCAGCCTGAGGACACGGCATTGGAGGTAGGCCAGCCGTAACTCTAGCTAGTTGTCCAAACCAATATCCTCTTAACTAACCTTGACCACGGTTTTAGTCAACCAATTGAAAACTAAACCAGTCAAATACCTTTCGTTACCATTGCTTTTCTTGCTGCCAACCATGCTCGGATTCACATCCAACTACTATATAGACAAATGCCGAAACGCCGGCCACACAGGTTGATCACAGACCCCAACTGAATGAACCCTTAAGCTTATGAACCCCTATTTGTTTTTTGGGGCACCCGACTAAAATCACCTTTTTCTTGTTTCTTCCTGCGCAGGAAGCTGATCTCAATGAGCTGAGATCACATCGTTCGGATGATCCGCGCGCCCTGCGACGCCACAAGATACATCACTCATCCATCAAGCTGCGCGAATTGCCGCAGATAACAATTTCACCATTTCAAAAACAGAGGCCTGAGGTCGATCACAGTCCACATGAGGTAAACATTGATCATGCAAACTTTTAAATCGACCACATTTAAAGCTGTTGTATTCGTTGTAGATCTTCGTGCAGCTGGACGAGCTCACGGGCGTGGGCGATGACCGCGAATGGAAGGAGACTGCGCGCTGGATCAAATATGAGGAGGATGTGGAGGAGGGCTCCGATCGCTGGGGCAAACCGCATGTTGCCTCTCTCTCATTCCACTCGCTGCTCAATTTGCGTCGCTGCCTGGAAACGGGCGTTGTCCTGCTGGACCTCAATGAAAAGGATTTGCCCGCCGTTGCCTATCGCGTTGTCGAGCAGGTAAGCTAGCCTTGATCTCTCTTTTTCTCTCACTCTCAACTTGGTGTTATCTTTTTGCTCTTTGCAGATGGTGGTCGATGATCTTATCAATATCAATGACAAGCCTTCGGTTATGCGATCGCTGCTGTTGCGCCATCGCCACGTGAATGAGCATCAGGGCGTATTGCCCTTCACCAAGCGCAAGTACAACAGTTACACGAGTCTGCAGGTAAGACAACGATCCACAGCGATCCTCAGTGATCCTTAGGGTCTTTATGTGATCTCTGTGATCCACAGCGATCCTCAGTGATCCTCAGGGATCCTCTGTGATACTCTGTGATCCTCAGTGATACCTTGTGATTCACAGCGATCCACAGCGATCTCAGTGATCCTCAGTGTTCCTCTGTGAAACTCTGTGATCCACAGCGATCCACAGTGATACTCTGTGATCCTCAGTGATCCACAGTGATCTACATATATAATTCACTCACATTTAACAACCTGCATTTATTCAGTGCGTGTCCTGTAATCGCTATAAATTGGCTTTAATGTGTTTCAAAATTTGTTAATCATTGATCGTTGATCGTGTTCATTATATGCTCTTGTCTATTTCTGCATAAATGCGCCCATAACTGTGCTACATTTCATCAACCACACACCAATCGTACACCAACAACTACTACAACAACTACAACAACAACAATAACAACAACAACAACAACACCAACAGCATCTAATACCCAAATCGGTAATGAACGGCTATTGTATATAGACATATATATTATATATGATATATATATATATATATATATATAAATATATATCTAGCATCTATAGTTAACAGACATTCTTATCAAGCTGCTTTTGTCCTGTGTTTCTCTGTTCTGACTCTTCTTTTATTTCGTTTCTGCGACTCTTTTGTTTGCCCATTTTCGTATAAATACCACTGTATATATATTTATATATATGTATATGTATATATTTATATATATATGTATATATATATATATCTGAACACTGAACACACTTTGTCTCACAATTGCGCACCACACCAAAAGCTACTTTGGATGGGCGCCGAGGCTTCACAGCAGCTGCAACAGCAACAACAACAACAGCAACAACTACAACAACAACAACAGCTACAACAATACCTACAACGATCTGCCAAGGCGAGACGCAGCATCTGTGTGACCTCCAGTGCGCCGCCAGCGGCAATGCTCAATCTGGGCGCCATAGATCATCGACGACACTCGACGACATCGTATCTGGGTGTAATAAGTTTAAAGACCTATTTGACAAACAAAAATAAACCCCTATGCAACAGATCAGGGAATGAAACTGCCGAACTGGAATTGCAACAACAAGCAACTGCTTTTGTCGGCATGCCGAAGATGAAATACCCTTGCCGATATTGTTGCATATATACCATACTTAGTAATATACGCTATATCCGATCGATAGCAGCTATATCATACAGTAGAAGGATGTTAAGATAGATAGCTAGAGAATGTTGGGACAGCGGTAAGACTCGTGATTGATCAGTTTGATTATGATATCTTGAGAAGGGAAGATATTTTTCGGAAAGGAGTTCAAATTTGGATCGATTCTTCCCACTAGGATACAGTAGTTCGACGCAGAAAACATGATGCTCATAGTAAAAATGAAAAAAACAAAGGAGTTTATTAAACTTAAGAAACCGTGAAAAACGAGATATATATATATTGTGTAAGAAACGAAACCTCTGCCGATCGATCCTATGTCAAATATTAGATAAAGTGGTTCCACTTAAACATGCAATACTTTCTGAAGACATCCTCTAAACTAAAGGACTAGACTAGACGGACATGACTCTATTGATCCAGCTATTAATACAGGGATCAAGAATAATATAATAATTTCATGCAAGGGTATCACAAGTTGTCACGGTTTCATTCCCTGCCCGCCGCTAAAGTGCTTTAGAAATCGAGCCGTTTCTTTTTAGCCCACCTAGCCCACCTAGCCACCACGTAGCCACTCCCCTCTCTTAGATAGATCCACTTTAAATGCTCTCCAACTCCACGATTGGCAAGTTCTCAATTGTGTGTTGTTTATTTACCAACTTACTCGTAAGTTAGCCTGTCCTTAACCTCAAAAACGTTACCTCGAAATGCACCCAAAACAAATAAAGAAAAAATAATTTAAAATTAAAAAAAAAAAAAAAAAAGAATCAGCCTTTAACCCTTAAGTGCACGCCTGTTAAATGTTCTGCATGTTGTGCTTGTTGTCTAACGTTAACACCCAGTGTACATCGCGTGGACGTGCCTCGATACTAAGCTCCCTCCTCCCAACAGAACCTCTCGGGCGGCACCGATGACAAGAAGATCAAGATTATGCCGGCCAGCGAGATTGGAGGCAGCAAGCGCAGCAATGAGCTTAAGATTGACATGAAGGACGACATGTACTCCTCCTCGCAGGAGGACCTCAAGAAGCTGCAAAATGATACCATACTCAAGCGCATACCTGCTGGCGCTGAGGCGACTACAGTTTTGGTAAGTCTGCACACGGGAGGATCCATATGGAGGATTTAATTGATCTTCGCTTCGCCAGGTGGGTGCCGTCGAGTTCCTGGAACAGCCGACAATTGCCTTTGTCCGTCTCTCGGAGGGCGTGCTAATGCCCACGCTGACGGAGGTGCCGGTGCCGGTTCGCTTTATGTTCGTGCTGCTGGGACCGCGCAACTTTGACCTGGACTACCATGAGGTGGGTCGCTCCATCTCCACGCTGATGGCCAATGAGCACTTCCATGCCATTGCCTACAAGGCGGACGATCGCCGGGACTTGCTGTCGGCCATCAACGAGTTTTTGGATGATTCGATTGTGCTGCCGCCGGGCAACTGGGATCGACACGATCTGCTGCCCTTCGACGAGCTGAAGGCCAAGAAAGACTGGATACGCACGCGCAAGATTAAGGCGCTGCAGGTGAAGCGCGACAGCGAAATGATCAAAATCGGTCGCGACGAGGAGAAGGTGCTGCTGGAGAAACAAGCGCTTGGTGCCATCACCGGGCCAGGCGGCCCGGGCGGCGATGGAGGCGACGATGATGACGACGATGGCAAAAAGAAGAAGCCCAGTCCCATGGACAAAACGCATCGGCTGTGGGGTGGCCTGCGCAACGACCTCAAGCGCCGCATGCCCATGTACAAGAGCGACATACTCGATGGACTCAACACGGAAACGCTGGCGGCGACCATCTTCATGTACTTTGCCTGCCTATCGACGGCCATCACATTCGGCGGCCTGGCCTCGGCCAAGACGGACAGCTGGATTGGCATCTCTGAGACGCTGGTCGCGTGCTCCTTTGTTGGCATTGTCTTCCACTGTTTGTCCTGCCAGCCGCTGGTCATCATTGGCACCACCGGACCGCTGCTGCTCTTCGATGAGGCGCTGATGGTCTTCTGCACGGAGAACAATTTTGATTTTCTGTCGCTGCGCGTCTACGTGGGCATCTGGCTGATCATTATAGCGCTGTGCGTGTCCGCCTTTGAGGGCAGCGTCTATGTGCGTCTGCTGACACGCTTCACCCAGGAGATCTTCTCGGCTCTGATCACGCTCATCTACATTGTGGAGACCATGATGAAGCTAGTGTCCATCTACAAGCTCAATCCGCTGCTGGCCGACTACAATCTGCCGCCGCCAACGCTGGTCGAGCACGAGAGCGCCACGAATGCCACAAATTTCAATATGAGCGTTAGCCTATTGAATGCCAGCACCACGCTGGCACCTCCGACGCCCAAATTGCCTATCAATCAACCAAATACGGCGCTCTTCTGCACCATACTCACGCTGGCGACCTTTGTGGTCGCCTACTATCTGAAATTGTTTCGCAATTCGCATTTCCTGGGCCGCAATGCGCGACGAGCTCTTGGCGATTTTGGTGTGCCCATTTCCATAGCCATATTCGTGCTGGTCGATTATCTGGTGCCGTCGGTGTATACCGAGAAGCTGGTGGTGCCCGAGGGCCTGTCGCCCAGCGATCCGACGAAACGCGGCTGGTTCATTGGATTCAACACATTCGAGACATGGGTGCCGTTTGCCTGTGTGGTGCCCGCCCTGCTTGTCTATATACTGATCTTCATGGAGTCACAGATATCCGAGCTGATTGTCGACAAGCCGGAGCGCGGCCTGAAGAAGGGCTCCGGCCTACATTGGGACATTGTGCTGCTCTGCCTGTTGAACACCTTCTGCGGCCTCTTTGGCATGCCCTGGCATTGTGCGGCCACTGTGCGCTCCGTAACCCATGTCTCCTCCGTCACGGTGATGTCACGGTGCGTTAACGTGCCTCCCCTCCTTCTCGGGCTTTAATAATTTTGTTTGGAACCTTGTAGCACACACGCACCTGGTGAATCGCCGCGTATTATCGATGTGAAGGAACAACGCTTGTCCGGCTTCTTTGTGTGCGTCATGATTGGGCTGTCGGTGCTGATGTCGCCCCTGCTGCGTCTTATACCCATGGCCGTGCTCTTTGGCGTCTTTCTCTATATGGGCGTGGCCTCCATGAGCGGCGTCCAGCTCTTCGAACGGTTAGCTAAGCTATGAAACATGCCTATCCACACTCAACTGATCTGTTCGCGTTCCTTCTATATAGCATACGACTTTACTTCATGCCGGTCAAGCACTATCCGCCCACGAACTATGTGAAGCGTGTGCGGCCCTGGAAGCTGCATCTGTTTACCACCATACAGGTGCTCTGCCTGGCCGTGTTATGGGCGGTCAAGTCATCTAAATTCTCGCTGGCCTTCCCGTTCTTCCTTATACTCATGGTGCCCATACGTCAACAAATGGCGTCGCTCTATAAGCCGGAGGAATTGCAAGCGGTAAAGCCTCCATTCGTATTGCCTCCCCGAATTGGAGATTAATCCGAATTTCGCTTTCTCATTTCGCACAGTTGGATGGCAGCGAGGCGAAGAACGACGAAGATGAGCCCGATTTCTACGAGCAGACCAACCTGCCTGCCTAGGGGTTGTGCAGCAGCAACTGGAGTTGGGTAATAGCCAGGCTCAGTTTTAGGCCAAATTTAATTAGTCCTTTAATAAGTATTCAAAGTATTAAAGCCAAGCCGCGTTCCCATAATACAAAATCCAACAAAAACAAGAAAATACAAACGTATGACGAAATTCTGGTGATCGTGTTAACGAACTACCTGCATTAGTATTTAGAGAGAAGGATTGTATAGCCTAAAGTAAAACACACACACACCTGAATACCTATTAGATTGTAAGGATTGCAGCTGGCCGCAGACATCTATTGATTAGGGCCCGGTCAAAAAGGAGGAGTGCCGAGAACTCAAGAGCGGGAGGAAACGTTGTACCTAAAATGAAACATGACATGGTAGGGCAAATGTGGCACATATTTTGCCATAAAGAGCTAAGAACAAAAGAATAGAGTATTCGTAATTACCTACCGATAAACGATAACCGATAACAGATGACCGATTATTTGTTCGATTCTGTTCAAACAAGGAAAAGACTCCACTTCGTTAAGCATTAGGTGAGCACTTTGGATCCTCATTAATTATGCCTTATGACAAGATGTTTGCTTAGTGAAAAATATTTATGAAAACAAAAGGAAACTTTGCATCACACAAACACAAACAAAAACATATTTATTTGGTTTTTCTCGTTGATTATTTTCTCGTCTCGCGCGTATTATTAGCAATAAATATTTTGCATATACATATATTACATACATATATATATATATATACAAACATATATATTTACAATAATAAACTCGGTTTAGTCTCATCGAAAGAGCAATGAACATGAAGAAGCATTCTTAGAAACAAAATTATAAACTATTTAGCTTCAACTGGCGTAGTGATAATTAGTGTCAAACACACACAAACACACAAACAAATCCCAAAATCCCACAACTACAAAAAAAAAAAAAAGGAAATTAAAATTTAAAGACAAAGCAAATGAGAAAAGAAATGTCGCGTACTTCGCTTAGCGCACACTTTTAAAGTGAATGCTCCGTTGTGACGTAGCCTCTGTAAGTTTTGCCTTTTTTTTGAAACAACCTATTGTATACTTATTATCTTATTAGTCGTAATCATCCAATATATCCATTCGGAGCGAGCGCCGCTGCGAGCCTAAACTATTTTTATGTAACTTGCATGTACTTGTACTCGTACGATACTTAAACATAAGTAGTTGTTGTCTAGTTTGTTTTATTCAAATTCAAATAAAATACAAAATTATATCAAAATGCAATTCGTTTTACTTGCATAAAGAATGAACAACTGTGTCACAAGTTTCCATATAAAGTACTCAGTTTGAGCATACAATTACGTCACAAGTTCATATATAATGTGTACTTGGTGGAATTGCACGAATCAGCGTACTGGCAGAGAGCATTTATCCAGAGAATGAGCACTGTGGATATTTATCCTCTCTTGGCACATCTCACAAGCGTTGATCCAATTACATACACACATATACGCATGGAGTGCAGGCTGCAGCTAAGCTGATGAGCGAGCATACGTTTACGCTATTGGTTGCAACAGCATTGATCCCGTTAACGAAGACGGACAAGATTTCAGTGAGCATAGTGGCATGGTGTGTGAGCGCAAACGATTTCGTGCTCTTAGTTGTCATTGTATTAGTGCAAATGCCGGCTTACCGTAGGCTTCAGCTTGTTGAGAGCATTTAGTCCGTGCGCAGTAGCCTATTTGATCGGTCGCTTCCGCTGTGCAGGTGTATAAAATCATTTTCGTACAAAGTTAAATTATTTATATTGTGTTAAAATTGCTTAGTTTGTGTCAAGTGTAAAATATATTTATATTCCACTCGATCTAAGTCCTTGTAGATCAGTTGAATAATCGTTTACTTACATAATCGTAATTTTTTGTTGTGGTGAGCTTTTTCACTTTTGGCGCACAAATGGAACAAAATCGAAGCTCATAGAGAGTGAAAGGGGATGAGACAGAGAAAGAGAGAAAGAGCATGTGAGTATAATGAAGCTGCTCTTGAACCCATTGAGTAATAAAGAGATGTAAGCATAATTATGAAGAGTGAACATCAACGCCAAGTTGCTGCCTAGTAAATGCACTTTTTAGACTTTAAACTCTCTTTGCTATGTCAATCAAATGTTCATATTGATTGTCAATGTCATTTAATTATTCGTTCATTCTTTTTTTCCTACACTTCCAACTCCCTAAATTTTGCCCCAACCTTGGTTTGATTTTAAGTTTGGTTCTGTATTTACATTTATAAATATAGGATTTTATATTTTTGACCAATTATTTAGACTTCGCAAATTCCAACCTTATCGAAGGGAATACTATTGTACAGTCCCTGTCAAATGAATATTTACCGTTATCAGCAACATGCTTGCCTTGCAGCTGGCGCATTACTGACGCTTGACGCTTTGCGTTTAGTCCAAAGCTCGGCATATCTCAACATTTTCAACTCAAGCTCCTCTCGGCAAGTTGAAAGCTCGCCAAAAAAAAGCTGTCCCAAAACACTTGAGTGTTACGAATTTCAACTCCACTCAAAGGACTATGCCAACATGTTGTGTGCAAGTGTGTGTGTGTGTGTGTGTGGGGACTAGGACAGCAGTGATAATGCGAAGTCAAAATGCCAACATATTGTGACAGTGACAGTTCAGGACGAGACGCCATCAACGTCGCGTCGTCAAGTGCTCCGCACAACTCCGTGGAAGCAACTCGTGAGTGATTCGACAACTACGTAACGTGATAAGCAATAAGCCGCAAGCAGCAGCAGGACGCGAACTTGCCGCGTTTTTACGACTTTTCACTTTGGACGCAGAAAAATGGCTAATAATTTGGTAACCGTGTCCGTAAACGCGAACGTAACCGTGGCATCAACCGCCGTGTGCGAGGGCAAGTGAAATGTGCGCAACCTACGACCCGGCATAACGTGACAGCCATTCAGAATCTGAATTTGATGTGCGGTGTGTGTGCGAGTGTGTGAGTGTGTGTGTGTGTGTGTTCTCATAACTAAATACGAGTTTATTGTTATATTGTGCTGCTGGCTGTCATTTTGCAATTTGGTTTCATTTCGTTTACAGGCCAATTCATTTGCTTTAACATATGCAAATTCCAAGAGCTTGTCGCACACACACAACACAACCTTCCGCACTCACCCACACACACACACACGCACACACACACATACACACAGTGTGTGCTGTGCCGCGTGTTTATGCAAAAGAAAATTGCAAGAGCAGCGCCCTGCGGCGGCTGCCGACATGCACGACAATTCGCCGCCTCGTCTGACACTTGGCATATTACACATACGCCATGCTGCACATACACATACAATTATGTAATAACACATTAGGCGCCTTAGAGACAACAACAACAACAACAACATCGACAGCTACAACAATGAGACTGATAATGATGTTGACCTTTGACACAGACTTGTGCTCCCGTCAAACACTTATGCACATAACATATTCATAGTTCTTGTCCATATATATTTCGTGAGCTGCTTATTGTTAGAGTATTATTTGTTTGTTTGTTCGTTTGTTGATTTTGAATTTAACAAAGTTCTTTCTTTATGCTGTGCCAAATTGGGTGCATTGAATTCTATGACTGCAACGCCTGGCGTATGTCCGATTCGGCTGCCACAAGCGGGGCACGCACCTCAATGCCACGCACTGGCGCCCTGTCCAGATGATGTATGACTTTGTATACCTCGCTGCGATTGAGGTCGATTTTGCGCTCCGGCTTTTGGTACTTCATAAAGTTGACCCTGCGGAGGGAACAAGCCAAAGCTGTCGTAAGAAAGAGCTTGAATAAGCGGTCGGGGGTGGCGGGGTATTTGGGGAAGCAGGACTTGCAAAAGGGAGACATGCATGTGCATTTAAATAAGTGCTGCTGGTCACGTTTGGAGCACTCTTGAGCTCTCCATCCGGTTGCCAGGGCATGCAATGAACCGTGTGACAAAACTAACCTGTGCGCTGCCTTGGCCACGCTGAGGCTCTGCAGCTCCCTGTGGGCGAGGAATTGAACCGAAAACGAGCCAAAAACGTAACCAGAAACAAAGTGAAAACAACATGACAGTCGGTCGCAACCGACTGCACAAAATACCCTGTTCACAACTAGTCCCAGTGGATCGATCTGTGGTCTTCCTGTTCACTGTGGTCATTCAAGCTTTAAAACTATGAAGTATGTAGATTTTTCGATTTGCGAATATGTATTTAATCTTTCAAGTCTCTATAAACTAATATACTCATTTCGATTGATGAAATAGTGTACTAATTCCAAGCAGTCGAAAAGGGTCTTACCCATCGAGTTGGTGACTCTCAAACTGTCAGCCCAGTCACCTTTAAACTGTGCTTTTTAAGTAAGCATCGATGCTTGGCTCCTTTTTGTGGGTGTGCCTCTCATATATTAAGCGCGTTCTTTAAATAAGCTCATCTAACTAAAGCATTTATGGCGTCTAGCTCTGAAAATGTGTGAGTTACACATTTTTGAAGTCTGCCCGCCCCTTATGGGGCATGGTCAGGCAATTGTAAGACTTTTACTCAAGGCTGCAAGCCTCACAAATATTTTCGATGATTCGGCTTACAAATTAAGCCTTAGAGTTCGCCCTGTGAGTCTGTGTCTAGGCTTAGTTTCGTAGATAAAATTTCCTTCAAATTTCCAACAGGATTTATCTCAATTTGAATGAACTTTTTGTACATATTTTCACTCATTTAAATGAGCGCTTCTTTAGAAAACTGAAAGAAAAGCCTTTCAAGCATAAATATTTAATTAAAGAAAAAATGTTCGGCTTAGATTTAGCTTCAGTCCGTTTGATTGAAAGCCGAACAGGCTTACAGGTCTTTAGCTAACGGACACAAAGAGCCCAGTCTAAACTTTTTTTGACTTTGTGAACAGGGTATAAAAAACGTAAGCGTAAACGTAATCGTTACCGAAATTGAAGTGAATGTATTGCCCCTAGTGGTTAAGTACAAGACAAGGGCGGACCGAAATGCAGGCAAACGATGTTAGCCTTATTAGCAGAACGAGTTGCAGTCGCCATCGCAGTTGCCGACGCAGTCAGAGTCAAAGTCAACTTACCTGAAACGCTGGCGTGTTATGTGCTCGCCATTGAATAAACGATTCCAAAATGCAATCTATGAAAGAGAGAGAGAGAGAGAGAGAGAAGCGAGACGAGGCATGCATATAAGGAAAAATCTGAAAAAAATAATGCATAAAAAAGAAGAGGAATGCCACAGAAACGTGCAACCAGAACTGGCAAAGTCAAATCAACTGCAGGCCAAGACAAAAATTGTAACAAGTAACGGAGACAGAGACAGATAGACAGAAAGACAGCAAGACAGACAGTCAGAGAGACAGCAAGACAGACGGTCATTGAAAATGATAATGTTAATGAAAGTGCATCCTTTTGTGCTTGGAGCGGATGCGGATTGCGAATTGCGGATGCTGTCAGAACTCCATCCTAGCAATAATACCTGGCATCGTAGCCCAGCAACGGGCTCTCGTAGGGGCAGCTGCTAATACGCAAAATTATGAAGCCGAAGCGTTTGTGCGTCGATGTAAGCGTGCCATGCAAAAATGAGAGATGAGCATGAGTATATGGAGCACGAGGAGCGCTGGCGATGGAAAGGTGGTGGGTAGGTGGGGATGTTGGGCAAGGGGGAGTGACTGTGACCATGGCAATATGGCATTATGATGGCAATATGACCAAAGCAATGTCAGGACACAATATGGGTTTTAGCAAATGTCAATTGCAATGTCGTCCGTGATGATGAACAAAAAGAGTGAGAGGGCGAGAGTGACAGGAGGGAGAGGTGGTCCGAGGAGTGGCTGGGCAGCGAGTAGAAGGAGTTGGGCACCGTCCATACGGGATAGGAGAATTCAATTCAAAATTTCGTGCAATACCCACCCCAGCGTGCTGCCCGTTATAAGCTCCGCCTGGGCGCTCAGTGTTTCGGCTATGAATTCATCATTGTAGGCATCCTTCGGTCTGTACCAGCGCCTGCCGCCGGGCAGCACCAAAGGACGCTCCGATGATGGCGTCAGGGGACCAAAGGCGCGCTTCGAACGCCTGGGATTGTTTTTGCGCACCAAATGCTCCTCGAGCTCCTCAATGACATTGTGTTTCTGGCATGTCACATCGCATCCCAGAAAAACCAACCCAGCACAGCAAACGCAACGCAACGCAACGCAATGCAGCACACAAGAGCCCACAGAGACAGAGAAGATGTTCAGAGATTTTTGTTTATGGTGCGACCGAGAGAAAGAGAGAGAGAGAGAGAGAGAGTGAGAGAATGTGAGAAGTGAAGTGAAAATTTGTGCAGTGGTTTTCGGTTCGGTTTATTCTGCGTTGGTTTTTCTGGCTGTCACGCTGCCTACTAATTGTCTTTTGGTATCTGCCCTTTCCCTTTCCCTTTGCTATGTCCGCCCCGCACCGCCCCGCCCCGCCCCAACTCAAGCTCGATTCTCTCCATTTCTTTGGACTCATTTATTTAACTGGCAGTTAGTCGCTGTGTGCACTGAATTTGTGTGTACAACAATCTTTTGGTGGCAATTTATCAAAATTGAAACTCGATTTAAGCTAAGCTAAGCTAACTACACTTGGAAGCGCACATTATGCTGCAAGTAGACAAAAGACAAAAACCAAATGGCATTTTAGTTAATTTGATTTCTCGAGTTGACCACGCAAAATGGCCAGGAAAGTGTCCCCCCACCCAAAATACGGCAAAAAATTGGGACTAAGGCGTGTCAGAAATGGACACGGAAACAGGGGCAGAATCAGTGACGGCGACTGCGGCTGAGATGAGGCACAGCTGGCCAGTAAAAAAATAAAAAATAATTCAACACTAACTCAAGGCTAAAGTCGAGCTGTAACGACTCTCACATAACCTGTATATAAAGCTTAAGTGGGTGCACAATTGCATGGAAACTTTTTGGTATGAAAATTGATATGAATGTGTTTAAGGCTGCCAACAGGGCTGCAAAGCCGAGAGCAACAAAAGCAAACTGAGTTTAACGTTAGTTCATGAACTTGGCTCAAATTTTGAAAAGAAAACTGAAGAGCTTGAATGCGGAACTTTGCCTTAAGTAAGAAATACATTTTCATTGCGCATTTAATATGCGTCAATAAAACTAAACAGAAGATTAGAACCAGCATTTAGTTCGGTTCTTGAACTAGTTTGAACCACTTAAACCACTCATCAACCCAGTCGTTGGTTCAAACTTGTGCTTGTTTGAGACTCAAGTAATTCGTATGAACTCTTATTAGCGTTACATAGTTTTGACTCAAGGTAATAACTAATTGGGAAAAACGGGCCCTAACCGGTTCGATTAAAGGGATTTGTAGCCCTGGTTTCTATATAAACAACTGGGAAGAGCATAGAATTGTGGTATCCGAGCTGTAACCACATCTTCAGTGCTTGCTTGGGGCAATTTCTCAGACAGACACCAGAACTGGCTAAGCTCTGAGCAGACTTTATACGCTCGAGTATACCCTATAGCTGGGTCGCCCGAATGCCACATGAGCTTGAGGTTGAGTTGTTTAGCTTACCTTTTGCTTCTTGAAGCTGAGCTCCTCGCTGAGCTGCTCCTCCAGCTGGCGATTGTCGCCATTCGAGAGCGAAATTTCTGCCACTTCCAGGTCATTGGCATCGCATTTATCCTCATTATTTTCAGGTGCTGTCGTCCCTTCCGGCTGCAGCTGCTCCCTGCCAGCCGCAGAATTGGACAGAGCTGTGTGTTTGTGTGTGTTTGTGTGTGGGGTGGAATATGCAAAGTGTGCCATTAGAAAAATTTAATTACTGTAACCTCGGCCATAACTTTCGAGCCGGCACCTTCATACTCGCCATGTGGCTCGTCCTCCTCGGCTGTCGACAGTTCCGCCTGCTGCCCATCGATTTGCTTCTGCTGCTGGTTTTGCTCCTGTTGCTGCAGCTTAAATGTGGGCAGCAGTTCGGCCAGCTGCTTGGTCACCGCGTCCAGGGTCGATTGTATGGTCGAGGGCAGCGTGGAGAGGGCCGCGAGCTGTTTTTGCACATCGGCCAGTTGTTTTTCCAGTGCCAGTTCCTCATCGGTTTTGGGCGGAGTTGCCGCATCGGCCTCGGGCTGCAGCTCGTTAGGCTCAGCCGGGGCTGTTTGTTTAGCTGCCTCCTGTTCCTCCCCTGCCTCGGACTCGGGCTCGCGCTCAGCCCGCTCTTCGGACACCTCTTTGGACGCATCCGCTTTCTCTAACTGCTCGGCTTCCGTTTCCTCGGGCGCGTTCTCCTTGTTGTTGTTGCTGGTGTTGCCATTGTCTGGCAATTGTTCCAGATTCGGCACTTCGCTGTCCGTGGGCAGCGGCTCCTCCTCTGGCTGCTCCTCTGCCTGTTCCACTGGCTCGACCTGTGCCTCCTCCTGTGGCGGTGGGGTGGCTTCCTTTGGCGCTGGCGGAGCTTCCGGCTGTCACAGGCTTAAGTTGGTGCCTGTTCAGTGTCTTTTTTTTATTTCATGCAACGCTACTCACCATAGGCGATTTGTCGCGTGGCGCCGACTTGACTATCTTCACCTTGTAGGCATTGGCCTTGCGCCGTTCCGCCTCCAGCTGTTGCTTGCTCTTGGGCACCGGACGATCGGGTCGCTGCAGGAACGTCGACCATTTGCGATTCTCCTTCTCCTTTTCCAGCTTCGTTTTGGTCACCTCCTCGTTGAGGGAGCGCAGCACATCGCTAGTCATGCACACGCCCGGCTTGGGAAAGATTCTATAGAAATTAACGCTATGATATGATGCAGGTTAAGGTCGCTCCATGTCGATGGCAGCAACAGCTGCTGTCAACGCACCCAAGCACATTGTGCTCCTTTAGGACCTCCGATTCGCCGGACAGCACAGCGGCAATTTCCTCTTCCACCAACTTAATTTCCGTCTGCTCCGACATCGCCGAGCACGGACGATCGGGCAAATCGGGCAAATAAAGGCTATCCACGTGTATGCCCTCATGCTCCTGTTCTCTCTCCCTGTCCTGCTCCTGCTCCTGCTCCACGTTGTTGTCGTTACCATGCGATTGCATTTCCGTCATGGTGCTGCGACATACCAGCTCCACATTCTCCTCCAGTTGCGCAACCTCGACCTGTTCCTGTTCCGGAATGAGCGCTTTTGTGGCTTCCGTTAACGACGGCAGCGGCAACGGCGATGCGGATGCGGTTGGCGACTGTCCAGGCGTTGGTGACTTGGTCAACGAACTCGCACTCAATGGGAACCTCTTGGGGCCATCGTAGGGCGCCTCCTCTTCGCGCTCGCTGCCAAGGAAAAAGTGTCAGCTGAAGGGTTAAGCCTAATGATAAATGGCCAAGCGGGTCCGTCCGACTTACCGATGGACGCCAAAGTAGAAGACGCTGCCGCTGCTCATGATTAGGCGATGGGCCTCGTCATGGGTTAGGGGCGTGGCAGCCGTGTCATTGATACGCACAATCACATCCTCGACGCACAGGCCCGCCTCCTCGGCGATGCTGCCCTCCGTGACCTGTCGCACATGGAGACAGCGAACGCGAGAGAGAAATTGAGAGAGCGTGAAAGATATAGAAAAAGATTCGAAAAATTGTTGCAGATACAAAATCAATTATCTGGCGTCGCTCGTGCAAAGTGCATATAAATAAAATGCGCGCAAAATGTCAACAAAAACACAAATGAAAAGAACTGAATCGGTGCGGGGAGCGGCGTGGCGAGGCGAGCTACTGCGGCAGATGCCTCGACCAAGACAATGCCACTGTATGTGGCATGCTGCATGCGGGTTGCTTTATAAATTAATACATCACGGATAATAAAAGTTTTTTACAATCAGTTTATAAGCATGTTGTCCCCCTTTTACAACAACCCTCCCCGCCCACCGCCCTTCTGGCCACACTACACTTATTCAGCTCATAAAAGTTGCTGAAGTTTTATAATTTTCAAACCAAACACAAAATTGTTTAATGGAGTTTGTTTTTGAATGTTGGAAAATGTCGTTATCATAGTTGACGTCAATTAAACTTTACCAACATTTTTAAGTGTTGAAAGTGTTGTTGAACAAAAGGAAATATGAGAGATAAATGTGTAGAAAAATATTTATATTTTAATCGAATCTAAACTATATAGTACTAAAGAATTGAAACATTTTTCGTAAACGCTTTTAGGGTATTGAAAATAGTTTGCATAGTATTTTTCGTATCAGCTTCGATACGTCAATCTGCCCTCGCATTCACTTGTATGTGTCTTCCTATCTGTGTGTCGCTGTATGCCAATTCAAATAAGAGTGCTTTGTCGTATGGGCTCGACTAGCAGATACCCTAAGCCCAGTACCAGGTCTCCAAATCGTGTGATACTAAGAGGAGACATTGAAACAAATGATAGCCTTTTTCTGCGTATGATGGAAGAATATATATATAAATATATATTTGTCAAATTATAATCGACTCCGATCTTATGGGTTCAGAGGCGCTTCCTTCCATCATTTGCATGCTTATGCACAAAACCAATATACCCGCTTTATACACAGTTAATGAGTGCGTTGTATAAAATTGCAATTTGTTGCTATTTTTGCAAAAATGCTTGATTATTTATGTTGTTGTTGCCGCTTTTGTTGCTGCTGCTTTTCAACACATTTGCTAATTCACCGAGCGATGATAAATCGCAGATGAGACACAATTAAAATTGAAATTAATTTATTGCATTCACATTATGCGGCTCATTAGCAGAAAAATGCATTGCGCTCAGACGATTAGACAAATAGCCGCAACGAAGTACGCTCTGCGCCGAGTTTACTTTAATTAACAAAATTCGCAAATAAGCCCAAAAGCAACAGGCAACAGGCAGCAGGCAGCAGCAACAGCAAATGCGAATCCGAATGCGAATTGCAACTGCAAATAAATAAACACACGCACTGAGTTACATAATTGGCTCGAACGTTGAAATATTTGCAATTAATTTGCGGCACATTGTTGCAAAAGTGAATATGCAACAATTATTGTAATGTGGCAGGCAGCCCGGCAGGTGGTCGGGCAACTGCGGCTGCCTTTGTTGTGGCTGCGCACAGGTAGCTTTTGCTCGCACACAAAGGTGACTGCAGTTGATTATTATCACATATTATTATAACTATTGTTAATCTGGTCGATGTGGCCTAACCTTAACCACAGTCAGTGGATAATCGTAGTCGGCGCCACCGACAAGCCGGAAGCCCCACGGCACATTATCAAAGCGACACATTTTAATATCGATCACCATTTTTGAACTCTTGAATAACAATGAAAGCTCCGACTGCGACTGCGACTGCGAATGCAACTGCAACTGCGACCGTTTGCTGCAACGTTGGCGACCAACTGTTGACTCGATTCTATTGCCGCAATCGACAGCTAAACTTCGAGCTATCGATTGCCGGCGGCATCATCACAGATCGAAGCGCTTTTGTACATTGCCGCCAGCCGAATGAAGCATACTTTTCAGCTCTAAAATTACACACGCACACACATGCATGCTAATGAAGCTGCCATACACAGGCTGCCTCTCTGTGTGGCAGCAGAGGTAATCCTTGGGGACAGCAGTCACAGCCGTTTAGTGTTAAGTCGCAGCCAGCTGCCAGGTGGAGAGTGTGTGCGTGTGTGTGCGTGGGTTGGGTGTGAGCTGTTGTTGTTTTTGGGCATGCTTTGCAGTGGCATGCCCCAATATGTATGCCAAATGTGTATGCAACCAAAAAGTGCATTGAACTGCCGCAATGCTGGGACTGGGTATGTTGCTGCGACGAACGCTGCCGCTGCATGTGGCATGTTGCATGCGGCATGTGGCATGTGGTAGCGCGCACACGTATAAATAGCGGCCGTTGCCAGCAGCATTCAGGCAAAACGCTCGCAACAGGCCCGCCCGCAATATGTTGGACAATAGCGCATCTCATGCACCTGCCACAGGCCAGCGCCAATTGCTGCTGCTGCCGCTGCTGCTGCTGATAGCACTGGACAGCAGCTGTTGCCACGCCGCCGACGGCTTCAGCGTCGCCCATCTGCTGCGGGAGGGCAAACACAAGCTGTGCGGCCAGGCGCTGAACGATGCAATGGACGTGGTCTGTGTGAATGGCTATAATACCATACCGAAAAAGCGATTGGATTCGCCACCGGAAATGGCCATCGATGCGGACCAGTTGCAATTACGGCCAGGTGCTGGCTATGCGCTGAGTCCATTGCTGTCCAGCATTTATGGCACCGAGGTGCTCATCAAGACACGACGCCTCCGGCGGCAGGCTGGCGGTGGCATCTATGATGAATGCTGTCGCAATGCCTGCACATATCCGGAACTCTTGGCCTATTGTCGCCGATAAGGGACACACACGCACGCACACACACACGCACGCAGACACACGCATACGTTATATTCGCACATACTCATGCTCACACGCGATACTGTACTCGTAAACGTAATCATAATCGTAATCGTAATCGTAATCATAATCGTAATCGTAATCGTTATCGTAATCACTTATTTATGCAGCACAAAATTTAGCTAATGAATAAAAGTAAAACTGTGCAAGAAGTTTCACGGCTCAGCAGAAAGCTAAAGCAAAAGTTACTGACGAAATTTCCATTCCGACCCATTCACACGGTACAAGGCAAACCACCTACTTCCTGCCCCACAGCCCACACCTCCAGCAACACCTGCCCCGCCCGCCCCTCCCCCAAAGACAGACAGCAGCTAAATGACTAACTTCAGCTTCAGCTGGTTGTTAACAGCGCTTCTGCCGCTCCTGTGGATGCCAGATGAGGCCAACGCCCGTATCGGTAAGTAAAGACAGACCAAGGAAACCACATGGAATCCAGCTGCACGACTATAAGCTACCCTGTGTTAAATCTCTTTTATAATATATATATGTATATGTGCCTGCACTGCAAATATAAAGAAAAATTGTTTGCGGTTCGGTTTACGGTTTGAGCCAACTCTCTGCCGAGGTTCGGTTCGCTTATCTCGTTAAAATGTTAATAGAAAATGTTTTCATATTAATATTTATCTGGCTTCACAACAAAAGCACATGCTTCTGTTGTCACGGGCGTTCGATCCCTTGATTTCATGCCGAGCGATGAGATTCAAACCAACCTCCTGCTTTTGTTGCGTAAACCTTCTACATATTTAAACAGCTACCCAAAGACCCTAAAACGAAAACTTTATCTGAAATAATATTTATTTGTATCACACTTTAATATGAATAAAACAAATGGTTATGTTGTCACGCGGTTTCGATCCCTAAATCTTATACCAAGTAAAGAGATTCATTTCAAATTCCTGCCTCTTGCTGCGGTTTGTGAACATAGCTTTAAATTTAAATGAAAGCATTGTCTCTAATATTATTTATATTGCTTCACATGTTATAATAAATTTATTTGGTTTGTTTGTCAAATGGTTGAATCCCGATATTTTAGGCTAAGAAAAAGGTTTGAACCAAACTTCTGCCTTGAGACTCGGTTCGTGGACCTGGTTCAAATGTAAATAATTGGCAAAACACCCAGATATATTTTACAATTTATTTTTAATATAAATTCTTACCAATGTTTTTGTTATCACGGAAGGTCGATCCCTATATTTAATATTTAAGAAAAGATTTTAATTTTTAGCTAACAATCGCCCGTTGTACTGAAAATATTGCAAGCCGTAGATATTTTCATATACAAAACGCGGGCTAAATTTGATCTCTATCCGAGAATTGGATATCCCAATTATGGTTAAGACCTAAGTTACTTTCGCTTTGTTGCTGGCTCTTCAACAAGAGTTGTGCATTAAAAATTAAAGTCTTTGAGCGACTTCTGCTAAGCCGTCTCTTAGAACTCGACGAGGTCACGCGCCTGGTCCCGGATCATCAGTTTGGCTTCAGAAAGTCTCACGGCTGCCCCGAGCAGGTCCACCGGGCAGTAAAACACGTACTAGAAGCTTTTGAGCAGAAGCAATACTGCGTCGGCGTTTTCCTCGATGTCAAACAAGCGTTTGACAAGGTCTGGCACGATGGTCTTCTGTTCAAGATCAAACTGATACTCCCAGCGCCATACTTCAGCATCCTTAGCTCCTTTCTGGCAGGACGCACCTTTAAAGTGGCCGTTAAAGACCAAAGGTCGGCAATTAAGGGCATCAGAGCAGGTGTCCCACAAGGCAGCGTCCTCGGTCCGATGCTGTACACGCTGTATACGGCGGACCTGCCCACACAAGGACAAAGCAATGAAGACCTCAGCCCTGCGAGACTGCTGGTGGCAACATATGCGGACGACACTGCCTTCCTAGCCTCCCACAAAAATCTGCAAGCTGCTACAAGTGCAGTGCAGGACTGGCTGCTGCAGATCGAAACCTGGACAGCTATGTGGAACATCGCTATAAACTGTGCCAAGTCCGCCTGCGTCACTTTTACGCTGCGCCCATACAGCTGCCAGGGGCTACGGTTCGATGGACGAACCATTGAGCAGACCAACTCTTTCTGCTACTTGGGTGTCCACCTGGATCGAAGGCTCATATGGGGGCCTCACATCGCAGCAACGAGAGCAAAATGCCTGAGAAGACTTCAAAAGCTCGATTGGCTACTAAAGCCTCAAAGCAAGCTGCACATATCCACGAAGACACTGCTTATCAAAACGATGGTAACGCCTATCTGGACATATGCGATCCAAGTTTGGGGCACGGCATCAGCACACCAGCTCCGTCGCATAAGAGTGGTCCAAGCCAAGGCAGCACGCAAGGTTGCTGGCCTGCCATGGTACGTAACAACAGACGCCATCGAACGCGATCTCCGCCTAACAAAGGTCGGAGATCAGCTCAACTTCTTCAGCAGCCGATACTCCGACAAATTGGTGCAGCATCCGAACGCGGCCGCAAGGGCCCTGGCTGAGCCCATCAGTGAGAGGCGCCTCCGAAGGCTACACCCCGACGACCTACCAACGAGGCACATCACTTAAACATCCCTTTCCCATTATTGTTATATATTTTTAAGTCTGTAATTATCATTTAAGTTATTAAATAATAACTATACACTATACCCTTAACTCCGCTTGGTAGAGATCAGAAGGCACTGATCGATTCCAGCGCAAAATAAACCAAAAAAAAAAAAAAAAAAAAAAAAAGCATTTATGGCACCGAGGTGCTCATCAAGACACGACGCCTCCGGCGGCAGGCTGGCGGTGGCATCTATGATGAATGCTGTCGCAATGCCTGCACATATCCGGAACTCTTGGCCTATTGTCGCCGATAAGGGACACACACGCACGCACACACACACGCACGCAGACACACGCATACGTTATATTCGCACATACTCATGCTCACACGCGATACTGTACTCGTAAACGTAATCATAATCGTAATCGTAATCGTAATCATAATCGTAATCGTAATCGTTATCGTAATCACTTATTTATGCAGCACAAAATTTAGCTAATGAATAAAAGTAAAACTGTGCAAGAAGTTTCACGGCTCAGCAGAAAGCTAAAGCAAAAGTTACTGACGAAATTTCCATTCCGACCCATTCACACGGTACAAGGCAAACCACCTACTTCCTGCCCCACAGCCCACACCTCCAGCAACACCTGCCCCGCCCGCCCCTCCCCCAAAGACAGACAGCAGCTAAATGACTAACATCAGCTTCAGCTGGTTGTTAACAGCGCTTCTGCCGCTCCTGTGGATGCCAGATGAGGCCAACGCCCGTATCGGTAAGTAAAGACAGACCAAGGAAACCACATGGAATCCAGCTGCACGACTATAAGCTACCCTGTGTTAAATCTCTTTTATAATATATATATGTATATGTGCCTGCACTGCAAATATAAAGAAAAATTGTTTGCGGTTCGGTTTACGGTTTGAGCCAACTCTCTGCCGAGGTTCGGTTCGCTTATCTCGTTAAAATGTTAATAGAAAATGTTTTCATATTAATATTTATCTGGCTTCACAACAAAAGCACATGCTTCTGTTGTCACGGGCGTTCGATCCCTTGATTTCATGCCGAGCGATGAGATTCAAACCAACCTCCTGCTTTTGTTGCGTAAACCTTCTACATATTTAAACAGCTACCCAAAGACCCTAAAACGAAAACTTTATCTGAAATAATATTTATTTGTATCACACTTTAATATGAATAAAACAAATGGTTATGTTGTCACGCGGTTTCGATCCCTAAATCTTATACCAAGTAAAGAGATTCATTTCAAATTCCTGCCTCTTGCTGCGGTTTGTGAACATAGCTTTAAATTTAAATGAAAGCATTGTCTCTAATATTATTTATATTGCTTCACATGTTATAATAAATTTATTTGGTTTGTTTGTCAAATGGTTGAATCCCGATATTTTAGGCTAAGAAAAAGGTTTGAACCAAACTTCTGCCTTGAGACTCGGTTCGTGGACCTGGTTCAAATGTAAATAATTGGCAAAACACCCAGATATATTTTACAATTTATTTTTAATATAAATTCTTACCAATGTTTTTGTTATCACGGAAGGTCGATCCCTATATTTAATATTTAAGAAAAGATTTTAATTTTTAGCTAACAATCGCCCGTTGTACTGAAAATATTGCAAGCCGTAGATATTTTCATATACAAAACGCGGGCTAAATTTGATCTCTATCCGAGAATTGGATATCCCAATTATGGTTAAGACCTAAGTTACTTTCGCTTTGTTGCTGGCTCTTCAACAAGAGTTGTGCATTAAAAATTAAACTAGTTTTGGGAAAACTATGTCGTTGTTCTTTAAATTCCAGTCTCGAACCGGTTCGCCTGACTACACACTTGATTAAAACAATGCAATGAAATTAAATTACCTAAATATGACTTGGCTTGATACGCTTCACCCCGCAATTGTTCTTTTGTTTGCTTTGCTTTGGCAAACACATGAATATAGGAGCTAATGCATAGGGGAAATCTACAGTTTTTTTTTTCTCGTTTGTTTGTTCCTTTTTTGTTTTTGCTTGAAATCTCTCCCCAGAGGGACAATCATTAAATTTTGCGATAATGGGTACATTGGATTGTGCGTTAGATTGAGACTGAGTTTTTAGCACATGCTGCTGAAGCTAGTTGGGGCAGGGGCAGAGAAGTAGAATGGAAGTGTTATGGGCTTGGACAAATTATAGTAGCTGGTTGGCAGTAGAAACAAAGTACAACTAGGGTGACCCCCCCCTTTCAGGGTTGGGCTACAGGGTATGTTGGCTGAAACAACTCATTTGGTATTCATAAATGCAGGTTCGCACACGCCAGAGCCTTGCGTTGTCCTTTAACGCCCAAATTGTTTAATTGGCTGACAAAGACGCAAGACAAACTCCTCTCCAACCCACCCCCCGCTCACTTAACTAGTGTGCCCCACGCATATTGCTATGCCGCCCACACGAAGAGAAATTTGCATAAGCCAACGAAAAGTGAACGCTGACATTGAACGAATTTAGCAAGCAGCTACTCGAGAATGCACTCAACTTGTCCCAATAACCTTTAACACAATTTGACACCAATGTAGTTGGACTTGCCACATGCCCCAACCCAGCGGGTGCCCGAAATGCCATTAACGGTATATAAGCGTGCGGCAGCGAGTGTGCCAGCATCAGTTCCATAGCATAGCCTAATCCCAGTACAATGTGCAAGTCAATTTCCGTGTCGCTCGCATTCCTGTTCGCCATCTGCGTCTTGGCAGCCGCCAATTCGCACGGCGAGATGCGCCTGTGCAGCGTTCGGCTGAACGACATGCTGAGTGCGCTCTGTGATAAGGGATTCAATCGTCTCATTCCCCAGAAACGCAACTCGCGTAAGTATACGCCTGTGCAGGGTGTTAGCAGTAGCTAATCCTTCAATTTGTTGTTGTGGTGCAGCGCTCATGGAACTGGACCCACTCGATCCCATTCAGTATATTGAGGAGAAGGAAACGCCCTCGTCTTCCGCCGAGCTCCTTACCTATCCGATGGCCAATTCGCGCCTGCGCAACATCTACCAGCAGAATGTCCTTAACTCGCTGACCGCCACCCGGCGTCGCACCCGTGAGGGCATCGTCGACGAGTGCTGCAGAAGGTCCTGCAAACTCAGTGAATTATATGCTTACTGCGCCGCCTAGATTCTCGGCATTAGAACTAGCCCACACTTCAAGCACCGCGATCAGAGTACATTTTGGAATATAGACAGAACCTTGAATTTCTACTCCCTCTATATTGTATTTACTTTGTGCAATCCACAAGTTGTATTTATATTATAATTGCTTTAAATAAAAACTAGCTGCATAAACAAATTATGACCTAGAAAATCGATAGTTTTCAAAATGATCCTAATTAAAGATTAATGTCCTATATACACATGGGTCGAAATTTCCCACTCCCATAACTCGGTCAAAACTCAACAGATTTTCATCTTGTTTGGACTTTTATGCATGGTTTAGCTCCTAAATCAAATTGGCATCTAAATCTAAAAACGTTATTTTTGGTCGAAATTCATGTCAAAATGATACCCTTCAAATGTCGTATATAGACATGGGTCGATATTTCCCACTCCCATAACTCGGTCAAAACTCAACAGATTTTCATCTTGTTTGGACTTTTATGCATGGTTTAGCTCCTAAATCAAATTGGCATCTAAATCTAAAAACATTATTTTTGGTCGAAATTCATGTCAAAATGATACCCTTCAAATGTCGTATATAGACATGGGTCGATATTTCCCACTCCCATAACTCGGTCAAAACTCAACAGATTTTCATCTTGTTTGGACTTTTATGCATGGTTTAGCTCCTAAATCAAATTGGCATCTAAATCTAAAAACGTTATTTTTGGTCGAAATTCATGTCAAAATGATACCCTTCAAATGTCGTATATAGACATGGGTCGATATTTCCCACTCCCATAACTCGGTCAAAACTCAACAGATTTTCATCTAGTTTGGACTTTTATGCATGGTTTAACCCCTAAATAAAATTGGCATCTAAATCTAAAAACATTATTTTTAGTGTAAATTTATGTCAAAATGTTACCCTTCAAATGTCGTTTATAGACATGGGTCGATATTTCCCACTTCCATAACTCGGTCAAAACTCAACAAATTTTCATATTGTTTGGACTTTTGTTCATGGTTTAACCCCTAGATCAAATTGGCATTTAAGTCTGCAAACATTATTTTTGGTCAAAATTCATGTCAAAATGATACCCTTCAAATGTCGTATATAGACATGGGTCGATATTTCCCACTCCCATAACTCGGTCAAAACTCAACAGATTTTCATCTTGTTTGGACTTTTGTTCATGGCTTAACCCCTAAATCAAATTGGCATCTAAATCTAAAAACATTATTTTTGGTCGAAATTCATGTCAAAATGATACCCTTCAAATGTCGTATATAGACATGGGTCGATATTTCCCACTCCCATAACTCGGTCAAAACTCAACAAATTTTCATCTTGTTTGGACTTTTATGCATGGTTTAACCCCTAGATCAAATTGGCATTTAAGTCTGGAAACATTATTTTTGGTCGAAATTCATGTCAAAATGATACCCTTCAAATGTCGTATATAGACATGGGTCGATATTTCCCACTTCCATAACTCGGTCAAAACTCAACAGATTTTCATCTTGTTTGGACTTTTATGCATGGTTTAGCTCCTAAATCAAATTGGCATCTAAATCTAAAAACATTATTTTTGGTCGAAATTCATGTCAAAATGATACCCTTCAAATGTCGTATATAGACATGGGTCGAAACTTCCCACTTCCATAACTCGGTCAAAACTCAACAGATTTTCATATTGTTTGGACTTTTGTTCATGGTTTAACCCCTAAATCAAATTGGCATCTAAATCTAGAAACATTATTTTTAGTCTAAATTTATGTCAAAATGATACCCTTCAAATGTCGTATATAGACATGGGTCAAAACTTTCTACTTCCATAACTCGGTCAAAACTCAACAAATTTGCATATTGTTTGGACTTTTGTTCATGGTTTAACCCCTAGATCAAATTGGCACTTAAGTCTGGAAACATTATTTTTGGTCGAAATTCATGTCAAAATGGTACCCTTCAAATGTCGTATATAGTCATGGGTCGAAACTTCCCACTTCCATAGCTCGGTCAAAACTCAACAGATTTTCATCTTGTTTGGACTTTTATGCATGGTTTAGCCCCTAGATCAAATTGGCATTTAAGTCTGGAAACATTATTTTTGGTCGAAATTCATGTCAAAATGATACCCTTCAAATGTCGTATATAGACATGGGTCGATATTTCCCACTTCCATAACTCGGTCAAAACTCAACAGATTTTCATCTTGTTTGGACTTTTATGCATGGTTTAGCTCCTAAATCAAATTGGCATCTAAATCTAAAAACATTATTTTTGGTCGAAATTCATGTCAAAATGATACCCTTCAAATGTCGTATATAGACATGGGTCGAAACTTCCCACTTCCATAACTCGGTCAAAACTCAACAGATTTTCATATTGTTTGGACT